CCCATTTATTTTTATGGTTTCGACTTCATCATACAAATTTAAAATGCACTAACACGCTCCAAACTCATTTTTAGCTGATATAACATAATATACGTAACATTATCTCAAAATTGTAAAAGAAGTCTGAACCGTTACGGAACTGTAGTAACAAGCCGACGCCAAAGTCCTGTTAAAGTTCACCGTCCAACGTCATGGATCCGTTTATAAAGAACCTGGTGGTATATATTTTTGAGACGTTGTGCGTCTGTTTTGTGCAACGAAATAATGTTTTCATTTTAAAATTACACCTTATCATTTGCAATTAAATAGAACATCGCATTAATTCTATGTCTAATATCTTACAGTTATAACATTTCCCTAGAGCCAACTTAGCATACGTCGATTTAAATTAAGAGAATCATTATTTAAAACTCTCATTCGCGTTCCGATATTGATGGCAGTCGGCTATTAATATCGCTATTGATAACGTTTTATAATTATTTTAATACAGATTGATACTGAATGGTTCTCTGTTACTGTCACCGAAAAGTGACATCAAAAGAGAAATCTAGAACAGTTCGCGCACAAGAAATACACGCGCACGGAAAGCTGGACGTGCGCACGCAAATAAATCGTCCATCTTCAGCGCACATGTAATAAATTGTTCCAATATAAATAAGTGATGGCCTGCCTCCGAGAAGTCTGCATGACGAGCGATTTCCACAGCGCCGGATCCATGGGAATCGAACCTGTGCCTAAAGTGCGCGACCCACATCGCTCGCGGGACGTGCGTTTGATGGACACGTAGCAGACGCGACTTCGCATTTCAATCGCGTCATTATAATTTCATAACGCACGCTTGTCAACGTAAATAATACGCAAAATTTATGTTACGAGGTTCTCACCGTTCGACGGAGGCGCTATGAATGCTTAATGCGCCGTCATTAAGCATGAAACGGCGAACGTTCGACTCATATTCATTTGAGGACGTGGAAATAAATTCAATTAAGCAGTTTGTATTTCGCTACAGTCCTCCGCGTAGATAGTTGCGCTGCGCGCCGAAAGCGCAGGCTATCGAAGCGCTTAAGAGTTCGCCATAAGGCCTAGAATCGCGTGAACGTCCCCGTCGAACACTTTCATCAACACTGTAACAGCTTTATGCGTCGTACGCGTCTAATGTCCACGGCTTTTCGTCGTGAGCGCGTTATGAACTCAAATGCAAATCGTATCCCCGTTTGAACTAATCGTCGGTTGAAACGTTTTATGGCGATTTTTTGTGACTGTGGCATTACTTGCGTTCCGACGGCCGACGTTGAAATTGAAGTGTAGCCTAGTTTAAAATGTTAAGTATCGGAAAGCTACAATATGTACATGCAAATAACTTTTTAACATGACTTTGAAAAATCATTCCACGTTTCTTTTTGGACCTACTGGGTCCATTAATGAGAGGCAGCGTTCTTATAACGCGATTGTTATTTCTCTTATTCCGGACGATTAGGGCAAATATAATAATGTGGAGGGCGAAACCCTTACTAAGTAAAATGGGAGATGTTCATTGTCCATCATCGTTACTGTTGTATTGCTATAATCATTAAGTCTTAGAAAGACTAATTGTTCTATAAGCAAGTGAAGTGGAAAATTCTCTGAGGATAATAAAAAAAAATTAAAACTAGAGAGAAAGGTGGTTATACTAAGTAGATTAGATATAGATATAAGTTAGATATAGATTTCATGTAAATTTATAATTTTCTATTGTTGTAGTTCTTATCAAGTTAAGTATTCGAATGAAAAAGTTTGTAATATTTTTTATTTGACGAATGCAAAACAAGTAGTTTTGACGAAACGATGAGAACTTTTTATTATGACCGCGTTGACATGTATTTATCACTTTTACGTGTTTGTAAGTACATGTAACGTAACAAGGTTGTTGTCTCATAGTAGTTCGTCTCATGCCGAAATGCTCACCGATTTTGATATTTTTTATGTCATTATTCATAACCTAAATTCGCTGAATAACCTTACTTACTTGTTATTGATGATTATAGATGACTCCATATTATAGATAATGATATCATATTATAATATGATGATATCATATTATAGATGACTCCATGGTGCGGTTGCCAAGTTATTGGCTTCGGCGCCGGGGGTCGTGGGTTCGATTCCAACACGGGACAACTATTTGTGCGACCCACAGATATTTGTTTCGCATCTGGGTGTGTGTCCTCATGCAATTTATGTTTGTAAAACGTCCTTACAACACAGGATAATGTTATCCTAAAGTGAGGGCAATGTTTTATAACAAAAAAAATTCTTAACTCAACTTATTGAGATTTTGTTATGTCATTTTATTTCAGATTGAAACAGTGTTAGTTCACTTCCATTTATTAAAGAAAGAAGAAGAAGTGTTAGTTCACTACTAACTATATAGACACAATGCAAAATTTTAAAATCATATTGCAACAGCGAACTTTTGCGTGCCCTACTACAATCAAAAAGGACACTAATAAAAATTTTACACATTCCAGAACACAAATAAATATATATGTTTTTCTTTACATCTATCAAAATGCTCTTCTAAGTTTGAACAACACTTTTTCGGGGACCTTAAATTCGTAGCATTCCATTATCTAATAATTTTGATTTACAACAAAAGGAGAACTAACTCTCTCGCAACTCTCGCATAATTATTAAACCCCTGAAATACGTGTTGCTGTGACTGAATTAACCCAAATATAATCTATAGGCGTATCATTTTCGAAATGAAAAAGAAAATCTCGCGTGAAAAACGGGCCTACGATAAACAGCGGGGAATACTTGTAGCGCATTGAAATTAATGTTGATAAATATACGGACGAGGCGGTCGGCGGACGTCGCGGGCGGAAGTGCGGGCATCCATCATCCGCCCGCCCTGGATAAAAACGCTCGTTAGACTCGGAGCCTCCCGCCCGCCCACGGCCCTACCTGCCTCTCTATTAATGTTCCACTCAAGAGCCTCTATTACTGCCGCCATTTATTATAACCGTTCAGCCGAATTGGCTGATCTAGCATTATGTGAACCAATGCTGGAAATTAATTAGGTGCGCGTAATTGTTTTAAAATTACATCGCTCTATTGATAATTAATTAGTTGTTCAGACGAATTAAATCTGATAAAATTCCAAATTTAAATTAATTGAAAAATGTATTATGTTAGTTGCTTATTTAATTTGTCAGTGCCCATTCGTGCCATTCACTCGTTAAACCGAACTTTTTCGAATGGCGAATAGGCGCGTTAATCGTACAATACGTTATTGCGCGTGAATATTCAATTAATTAGTGACTAAATGAAACCTTGTTAATTACCCTAATCTACACTAATGAGTTGGATAAAGATTTTATGACCGCTTTTACGTTTATGCGTCTACCTATTCGGGGTACGGTGAATGTGAACACTAAGTTTGAAGATCTACCTATTCGGGGTACGGTGAATGTGAACACTAAGTTTGAAGGTTGAGATATGGGAGCTTATTCCGCGTATGCGAAACGAGACGTCAAAATAAATCTAAAGTCACTGGGGTGTGTTTAGGCGAAGTGACGCGCGGATGGATGCTCCTGGAAAGGGTGACGTTGACTCTTGCGGGAGAAAAACCGAATTGGGAACAGTAACTCACTTCAAAGTGTTAAGACAAACAAATTGAAATGCACAATTCTTACCGATGCCTAACAGATATCTAATTTTAGTGAAAATTATTTAATGTAAGTAACAGTTTGCATAAATAAAAAAGTACATTGCAAATGTAAGAGTTTGTTTATTTAAGAATAGAAGAAATAACCTAATACATTACTTAAACATTATATAAAAATTAAACGAGCAAAATATAGCATACGCGATATCGGTCATTCATCGTCGTACAAAAGTGAAAAAGTAACAGCCTATAAGCCCCACTGTTGGGCAAAGGCCTCCTATATACAGAGGGAATTAGGACACAGTCCACCAAGTGACCCCACAGTGGATTAGTGGCCTTTACATATCTCCAAAATATTTTTTTTGTTCTTATTTCGCATATTTTATAGGCAGGTTCGCTCACGATATTTTCTTTTACAGCTGAGCGTGTGGTAAGTCAGGACTTAAAATTAACAATTACGTTGATGCCGGCACCACAAAATGAACTCACGTTGCTCGAGTATATTAAATTAAAAGCGAGCTCTGGACAGTGAGCTATGACGGGTATACACTTCGTCGTAGCGTTAAATTTGTCTTAAAGTGTAAAAGCACTATCTTGGTACGCGAGTATTAAAATTATTATGAAACAGCCGCTCTACGATAAGAAGGGATGATACCGGCTTAGCACCCCCGCCCCCAGCGCCCCCGCGCTATCGCACGCCGCTCGGATGCCATTCCAGCGATCTACATGAAAACTTGCTGCAAGCTTTATTTCCAAGTTTAGTTTGTACGTACTATAGACACGATCTACGTGTTCACTGCTTAGACTTGGTTAGTGGCAGTTTTAAACCGAAAGACCTTAACTAACAAAACGTTGAAAAATTTTAAAATCTTATTTTCTTATAGAAAAAATAATAACCCTTCAACACAACAATTAGTTACGAGACAGCACGGAATTGTGATCTGAAAATCAAACGGAGACAACTCCACATACAAAAAGGTATTAAATCTTTCCATTGCTATTAAACCACAGTGGGGTTATTAAAATTAATTTAAAATAGTTCGGGAACTTTGAACGTAAACCGTGTAAAGTTATTTCAACAATGCCATCGTCGTCTGGTGACTACGGGCAGAGGCTGCGGTTTGAGTAGCGACGTCGTGCGACAATTACAACTGGGCTTCGGACGCGACAATGCGCAGTCGCGTCGCAAATAAAACATGTCCGCGGAAGCCATGGGTGGGGGGGGGGGGGGGGGGGCGGGGGAATACGTGCACGAGACAAAGATAAGCTTAACCGGCACGAAATTATGAGCGTTTAACCGTTTCCAGCCGTAGAATCTGGCACGGGCGCATCGCCGGCTCGCCAGCGCGCGTTATTTACGAGGGGGTGGTGGCTGCGCCGCGCCCGGCGCCCGCTGCACCCGAGATAGCGCCTTCCCCGGAAGAGCGACGCCGCCACCGCGACCGCCGCGCGACATACCCACGCCGCTGAGCCTGTCACGCGAATATAACCCTTCACACTCGCGCCGCAAACTCCAATATCGCGCGCGGCCGACCTCGCTTGAGCCGTCGCAACGACCTGCTAGTCTGCGGCTACCCAGCACTTTCAGGTCGCCGGAGCGGACTCGGATTTCACCCCTACTGCAATCGACACAAGGCGGCATCACCTTAACTGCTGCCGTTTCAACTGACCGAACAACGAGCGTTTCCCTCCGCCGTGTTACAGTAAAGATGCCAGTATTTCTTGTTTATGATAGCATAAAACTATGCGGGCTAAATTAATGCCGCCTCGAATACATTGTGCATTGTCGATTAGTACATTTTTAGTTATCAACAGGATATTAAACAGTTAAGTGCCTTCATCGCACTTTGTTAGCCTCGTTATACGGCCTGAATAAATACAACCATACGAAGATAAGTAATAAGTTTAACGATCTCGTTCCGAACACTCGCATAAAACTGTGGACAATTTAGATCGTCGCCATTTAATTATGTGTATGCATAAATTATAGTTGCCGTCCCCGTAGAAAGCTACATGTACGCGCGTGCCGGCACCGCGTATGTCGTTAATGCACAAGACATCAATTCGAGCGCTAACAAAGAGAGCAGAGGTCACGTACCTTTGTCATTTAAGTGAAAATATACGAGGAAAAGAGAGAAACGCGCGAAGCCGTCGAGGGCATTATGCCGCGCGACCATTACTTTTAATATAAATAAAATAACAAAATATGAGCGTCCGGCCGCTGAGTGCCCCCGGACACTTTTATATTTCAAGAGCGAATCGCGGCTGCCCCAAGCTACGCAAGATTTATTCTTTAACGAGAAGCGCAACTGTATAAAGTAACTGTTTTATTTTTTCTCTGCTTTTAAAGTTATCTAAAATTTATTTATCTGACATATATGGTACTGAACGTTACGAAAAAATAGTTTTAAACTATGACCCTTGTACATTTTCTTTTCACAATTTTCGCGAAATGGAACGTAAACGCTTGAACAGCAAATATAACTCTAATTAAACTTAAAACATACATAAATTAAATTAATATAAATTTACTACGTAAGCGTTTATTTTTTTACAAAAATGGTGCTCACAACATATACATAATGAAAAAAGTTGTATAAAAATAATATGTAAATTGTATCTTCAGGTTGCATAACTTAAAATTAAAGACTTATTAAATTGATATTCATATAATCACTTACAAATTGCTTATTTAATATCTGATTTGTTTTACTTACACTTACTTGTTGGCTCTGTTAAGACAGTACAAAGAACTTAACAAAAATCAATATCTACTATATTGTGGTAGGTTCTCGCAACAGTCGGTTGCACTAATGGGTAGGTCCATCCGGGGAAGTACCACAAACTCACAGAAAACTGGCGTGAAGTGGAAGTATTATACTTCTGCGTGTCGTCTCACGAGTGAGGTAACCGGGGCCTACTTTATTAAATGGCGGCAACGCATTTGATTGAACGCGTCGCCTACGGATGTTGCAAATTTCCATGGGCGGCGAATATCACTTAACATCAGGTGATCCACCAGCTCACTTGTTACTCAGCATACATAAATTTTTTAACGTATTAAATTCAAAATTGTCCATCATCTTTTTACTTAAAGCATTTTGACTACATTTTTACAAGCAAAACGAGTTGTAACTTGCCGCTTAAATAAATTACGGCCAAATTACCATTAAGTTCACTATGATATACCCATGATAATTAATGCTTGAACCATGTCTATTCCGCAATGAACATATTGCGAATGCAAAAATAAATATGGCAACCAGTCTTCAAACTGAGGCTCTACTGTGAAAAACGAAAAACGCTACACTTTATTGCTTTCGTCCGACCGCTACGTCGAAACAGATTACCGTGTCGACGTTCTTCGTTCGATGTATATCGATATAGGTCACTGCGAACAACCATCGGATAGGGATTCGAGACATTTCTGACTATCTTTTTTATGTGAAAAAGTGGTTTACCTGATATTAAGTAAAAATCGCCACCCATGGACATTTGCAACACCCGTAGGGATGCAAAAGCCTTGCCACCTTTAAATAAAAATGGGCCCCGGCTACCTCACTCACCAGACGAAACGCAGAAGTGTAACACTTCTACTTTACAAATTTTAATTTTTTATAGTGCATAATCTCTGTACTTAAGATTAATTTTTCCACAAATTTTAACTTCTACTTTACGCTGGTCTTCTGTGAGGTCGCGGTACTTACCCGGACGGACCTGCCCATTCGTGCAACAGTGGAAACTGTTGCGGGGCCCTACCACAGTTAATCACCAGTCTATCATCAGCATTGAGACGAAACGATGAGTGTTTTATCGTTTTACGTATGTCTTTTTCCTTATTACACCCAGTGCAACCGATCTGCACCCGCTCAGTTAATAACAGAAGACTGTATTTGTCCATAATCACCGGTCGGCGGCATTACACTGCCGCTTTACTCGTCATATTGATTGTTTAAGTGGCAGTTGTTGGTACTCGACGATGACGACATTATTTTTGCGGATAATTCGAATATGTTAAAAATATCATCCTTCATTGGCGGGGCAAAAAATATCGACACGCACAATGCCTTTACGCCACACGGGTAATTTCGAAGTCATTTCGCTTTACGCTCAGTTCACGTTTCTCTTTCTCGTTGGGTACAAGTAATAATATTTGTGAATAGCGATAAACGAAAAGCAGACGGTCACATGGCATTGTTTTTATAAAAAATTCCTCGTTATCAAGGACTACTTATGAAAAGTAAGGATAGTAGACTCGTGACATTAAACCCAAAATCAAACTTTTTATTACGCACAGATCTGAACCTATCTTGCATTAAAAACCGATCTGATAAGATCTTTATCGTTCCCCGATATTCTCTATATTTGCTAAATGACGAGGAGAAATGAACAAATATTAATATATTACTCTTAACCTACCAAGTCTAATAATCATCGACAATGGAACTACTACCTTAATATAATTTTCAAAAACTGACAATCTAACCCTGGACCCGGGTAAGGCGATGTTGCCAAAACTAAAATACATAAGTGAATTCTTGATGATGACATGACCAAGAGAAACAGCCATTTAGAATTAAACCAATTAAAAAGTTTACCTTGTCAAGCTTCATGGAATAGACAGTGATGTGGTGCTGTATTTCATTCGGAAACAACACAAGCGACGAACGCCGATATGATCCGTTTAAACGCTTTATTATCAATTATTCCTAATACATTTCATAGAGTTTAAAAAATTGCGAAATAAAAACACCTGATTATAAATTTATTCAATTTTTTATAAGAATATAAGTCGCAAACTATAACATAACGTAATGTACGTAATGCAAAAGTAAGCCAACATTGTGGCCTAATGAATAAGCGACTAGCGGTACAGTACACAGAATCAAACGAGACCAAGAAAGCATTCACAGTGCGTGTGCTTTCACTGCGTGCTCTTCGTAACAACCAGTCAATCAATGTCCGCGTTTAATAACTTAATTTTGACGAGTTCGACCTGACAATCCGCGGGCTCGCTTCATAAAGGAAACGCTAACGTTATCGAGCGAGGTACAGATAAAACGTGTTATTAGCGCCTCAGTAACCGTTCCGGCTCGCGGCTAATTATGTTCACATCACCCCAAAACTTGAGGGGCTTCATCGACCAATATCGGGCGCGTTAATCGCGTACAGAGCAGAGCGGGAATAGACGCCTGTAACACATAACTTTATATACGAACCACAATAAAAACCGCGCGAAACGGGCAATAGCTAGTCAGAGGGAGATATTAAAATGCATGGAAATAAATTCGGCGTCGCATTCGGCCGCACGGCTCGGGGGGTGCAGTAAAAATAAACAGCGCCGCCATTAGAACTCACTTCCATATTCAAATTTATGAACGCGTCCGCGCCGCTCGGGCCGCCACTCACGCCGCGCCGGCCCACCGGTCATTTAAGCGATCGCCATAATAAATTTGACGATAAATTTAAAATTTCCACCCTCGTTTCACCTCCTGCGAAATACGTCAGCGCAGAAATTCACGCGGCCGCTTTGTAATGTGCGAATGCGTATAAAGCGGCGTGCACATCATACGCGACGTCACTAAGGTAGATTTTATACGTAATATAAATAATATATGAAATTGGCCAGGCACGTAGGAGGACTTATTAAACGTATAGGTATTGTTTCACGTGCCGAGTACCGATCCCTTATAAATAAGTTACAATTTCTTAATTGGGCACCGTGTCCGTTTTAGAGGATCGAACCGAGTTTTATAGAGAATAATTAGAAGGGAAATGAATAAGGACGCTGCCGGTTCCCGGAGGAACGACTGCCGCACGACCCGTGCTTTAGCTTAAATAAACAGACGTTTTCAAAAATTTGTGTATTTAAATCGAGTGTGACTTGTGTTACTGGTGCTATTTCGGTTTTAACAGCCGCTCTGATGGATCTGAAATAACAGCTAGCTATAGTACCGTTCGGGGTGCCCGCATTAATTCATATGGGATTAGGTGTCATCATAAACAGGAATTATTTAGTCAACTGAGGTTAGAAACAACATCACGGGCACGCAAATGGTTACGGAATCGACATTTGTGTTTATCGATCAACGTTTAATTTAGTTTAGTTTCTAGTGGCACTGTGTCATTAAAACAATTATGTAACCTGGAATTGAACATTGTTAAAATAGTCATTTCTAAAACACATGAGACAAATAAATTATTTAATGTATGCAGAAATGATTCGATTTTTTTTAATAATAAGTAAATTCATAAGCAATGTTGTACTGTAATTACGGTGGTAGGGCCACGCAGCAGCCACGCTGTTGCACGAATGGGCAGGCCCGTCCGGGTAAGTACCACGACCTCACAGAAGACCGGCGTAAAGTGGAAGTATGACAAATACTTTCGCGTTTCGTCTGGTGAGTGAGGTAGCCGGAGCCCAATTTGCAAAAGGTTGTCAACGCATCTGTAACCCTCGAGTGTAGCAGATGTCCATGGGCGGCGGTATTCACTTAACATCAGGTGAACCGTCTGCTCGTATGACAACTTTTCGCATAAAAAAAAAAAAAACAACGCCTTTCATGTCACAACTTCTGACATCATGTCACAAAAATAGGCTTCGTTGTGGATTGTCATGTCGCTATTTGCCCCTTATATAGCGACATTTGGCAGCACTTGGTTATTTTTCTCTAAAATTACTTTTGTATAGCTTCATAATTTACTGCCACATTTCCTAGCTTCATATTACAATATGCCCACTACATAAGATTTAAAATCAGTCATTTCTGAATCTTGTGCTCTTATATGACCCTGATGGTAAGTTTAAAGTTTAAATTTAATTTATATATGATCAATCATGTCTTTGCAAACACTAGACACAAAAGCAAGTAACGCTTTGATGTAATATTATTATTTCCACTTTTATTCAAGTGTTATTTTTATGTAGGTATGTATATTCAATTAGAGCTGTACTCAATGACTATTCCAGATAAATCGTACTACAAGAAGATAAAAAAATACTATTGTTACTTACATAGGCATCTTATAAAGTAAGACCAATTTGGCCTACTTATTAATAGGTTGAATAGAAATGCATATTCAAGAAAGGCATATTCATATAAAAAAACGGGAGTAAAAGGCAACCACGTCATCGATAAGGAATAGACGCTTAGCCAATTTCTACAATGAGACACCTCCGTCTAACCACTGAGCCAAAAGATCATAAGGTGTAAGAAAAATTGCAATAAAATTTGTTACAATTGGGTAACTTAGTCCTTTTCCTATAAACTGTCACTAGTACCTTAATGTTTCTAGGGCCGTGCAGAATAAATGATATCGCACATACACGTTAAGCCTTGCGGGACGGGTGATGAGGTAATGAATATTCAACGCATACAATGCATACGCCAGTGCGATGGTAAAAACTTTAACGCTGTGACCGTTCTTGATTGAGAATTATTCAATTATTTATTAAGTCTTTGTGTCTCACTGTTTCTTTTCAAATCTAACGGGTGACTGACGAAACCATTTATCGGATGGGAATTAAACCACTGAGACTTTCCTGTGGTTACCGCACTCCTAGACCAATGGCAAATTCTTCTTTTTGATATATGGTGAAAATTTACTTCACAGAAAATGAAGCATCGTATTAAGTAGCCTATGATTTCCCAACTACTCACGTCACTACTACGTCACTACAAAGTGACAGGAATCAAGTTTTACTCATTTTTATCCCATAGATATCCACTTTTAACATACTGTACCTAATTATTTACAATTAAACGAATAATTACATATTTAAAACGTAAACAATGGCATACTCATGTCTAACTTTTTATATTTGAAGAGTTGATACATGAACTATACACAATAAACTATACACGGTAAACTACAGATGATTGAAATATATTATTTACAACTCTATCTGCTATACAATATTAAAATAATCAGATATTAATTTTTTTTTTGATTTGAATTTGATTTTATTGATATAAATAAAAAAGATAAACTACACCAACAAACAAAAATCAAAAGTATAAATATAAACTGATCTACTACTGATCTTTCTTGATCTTAGTGCGATTAAGTATCACATCAAGATCAACATATAACTTTAATAACATTTTATAAGTAATATGTTACTAAAGTTTAATTACTTAGAATAATCAGATAATGAGACAACAGGTCCAACAACTGTGTTTTAATTTAATTGTTATTTTCATAATATTGAAGTAATGTTTAACAGTGTTTACTTTTCTCAATATTGCCAGACACAATGGCATTCAAACGGAGATATTGAAACAAGTCCAAAGTCGGCCAGCAATAATTTTCATGTCACATAAATACTGGCCGAGTGTCAAACCCAGCTCGCATAACTCAGCAACAGTCAATTTCGGTAGCATCCAGTACCGAATTTCGTAGGGGTGTCGTTCTTAAATGAAATACGACTAAAACAAAAGGCGATATCGGTATATTACACTCCAATAATGGCTTACATCACAATAAAGGCCCCGACAAAAAATGAACAGTGCTCCCGTATTCGGCCGCCTAGAATCCGTGGAGGATCATGACTTGCGTTATGAAGTTATAGAGGTCCGATGCCGTGTCGGGGAAAAAAATCCTCCTGTTAGCAGATCACGTAACAAGGGTCTTCCCGTCGCCAACAGGAGCCTCTGCGATGACTGGCAGTATCGTCGAAATTGCTTCCATCGCATCAATATAGGATCACGCCGACCCGGGAGCACAACCGGCACCCACGGTGCTTTTGAACTCCACACAAAGCGATCGACATGGGCCGGCCTTTGTAAGGAAAGCGCGGAGTCGCCAGCGGTGTTAAAAATCTAAATACGAGTCGATCTAGTTAGGGATGTCAATGGCGGATTCGTCGCGCGACAGACGCGCGTCCGTCAGCCGCGACGGTTTGCGGAGCACGCTCGTACGTTCGCGGGCGTACTGTTTGCGCGGGCTTTTTAATTTGTCACGGCTGTTCGGAAGCCATAATTGTATCGGAGAAATGTCTGATTGTTCCCTGTACATTATTTAACTTTTTATCGTTGTCTTATTATCTCATAAAATAAATGCTATTAAGTTAATATTAGACATAGTATTATTATAATAATGGAATAATAACAAAATATTGTTAACGACTAATTTTATATATAAGATTTTTTTTAATATTTAAATACAATTGTAAATTTTTATTATTTCGCATACATTAGGTAATAACGTTATATTTTTATTCTTATCAGCTTAACATTAGAAATGTTTAAAAGAAAAATATTTTTGTGTTTTTTTTAGATAAATTTTCTTGTTCATCTACAAAAATTTACATTTTAAGTTTCATCTTGAGTGCAGAGAGTAACCCTAAAAATAAACATTAATCATGAAAATATTTTTCATAAGTAACAAAAAAAAAGTTGATTCGGAATATACTGACATTGAATAATCTACTCACAATGTAAAATGCTTTTTTTTTCAAATATAAAGTGAAATAAAATGTTAAAATAACTATTCATGGGTCTTTTGGTGTAATGACAATAGAAGAAGCACACAGATTACTTCCATCAAAATGTCTCCTAGGCTCTCAACAAATTAATATCTTTCTAAATAGCATGTTGATAATAATGTTTTACTGAGATATTACATCATTTTACTTTTATTGCGATAAGTGCACCTAGAACGTATCTCATAACATATTCACAAATTATGTTTTTGCTCAAAAAAATAGGCACCAAAATTTCTCGTACCTTCTCGTCGAAGTAATAAAGAATAAAGCTTCCGGATTTTTATGACTTTATCTTTTGATTCAAACAGGACGTAGATAATTTCACCACATAAATGAATTCACTTCTAAATATTTATTAATAGAACGAAATTTTCTACTGCACAAAAAATATCTTTATTCTTTTTTTAGTCAAAATTTTCTAACAATATTAAAATGAAATAAACTGTTCCTCCTGGAAATATGATAAGAATTAGTAAAAATAAATAACACTATTTAATACTCAAAAACCATTGTATTAGACTATAAACATCAATTCAACTAGACCGGCAATCATAAGCATTACTAGGTTCTATCTAATAAAGGGCGCGCAAGAAAATTGATAAACGTCGGTTTATAACTTACGAGAGTGCAGCTTCAATTAGCGAATGTGGGAGGCTTCGCGGGGCAGCGTCGGCCGCCATCTAGCGGGCGTCAGCGCCGCCCACCGCGGCTCGAGCCGCGCCGCGTGTCACTTATGAATATGAGGCGTTATGATTATGAAAATATGCCCCGCCTCGGATATGGAACACGTAGGTGGGGGATGCCCCCGCGGGCGCGTACGAATGGGCGAAGTTTGATTTATGAGCGGCCCGGCGGCCCCGCCCCCCTGTCATAACCGGGTGTGGAGCTGGTGCGCGCGCGCGGCCGCCCGCCCGCCGCCCCGGCCGCCTCGGGCTCAGTCCCGTCTCGGATGGCGAGTGGTGCGGCCGGCCGCAGTCCGCATCCGACGCCGATACGCAGCCCGCGCCACCGGTGAGCGTCGCGAGTGTGCCCGCCTGCCATGCGCCGGCGGTGAGCCAGCGCCCCAGCAGACATGCCGCGCGTCAAGCCCGCCTGCGTCCGCCGCGTCTCCATCGGTACTTACCACACCATCCACTAAGCACCTCACACACGACGACACAGTGAAACCGCCCCGGCTAAGGGAACGCGCGCCCCGTCCGCCAATATGATACAGTTCGCAACGATCAAATTCGGTATCCAACAAAAAGTGAGCACTAAAATTCGCCCACGACGCGGTGAGTAAACAAAAGTGCAGTGAATTCCCGAGCTTGGTATTTTATTCAAGCTCACCGTCCGTACGCTTTCGTCAAAGCGCTAACGCAGGCAGGTGTCGATAGGAATTTTATTTTATGCTTTTCCGCCGTCTACTACAAGGTACCACAACAAACTTTAGCTCAACTTTAATCGTTCGATTGAATAAGTTCTTTGCTTTCTTATTACAGTTTAAAATTTACATCATACAAAATATATAACATTTAATGTTTTATATTCAATAAAGGTATGACAAAAAAAGGTATTAAAGGTATGGGAACTTAATAAATACTTCTAAAACTATTAAATTAATTGTAACTAGTCATTGAATGAAATTTAAATCCATATCTTCAATTTCACTCTTTTTTCAGAAACCTTTTTATATATAAGAAAATGATGATTAATTAGTGAGCAAACTTTTTTAAATTATATCATTTTGAAATTTTAAGAAAATAAAACGCCGGTCAATAAAGGAAAATATTAGATATTAAATGTAAAGAAACTGATAAATTTATAATTTTTACAGTGAAAGCTCTCGAAATTTGTAACGTCGCGGAAATTTTAAATTCCCTATTACGTTATTTTTTCTTTTAGCGTATAAACGGTTTATAAAATTACAACACCTAGTTTCTCCTTTTTATATTCCTCCATTTTGTTATTTCTCTTATATTTTTTTTATTATGTTACAATTTTAATGGTAGTTTAAAATGGCCTTTCGATGGAACAGATTATTTACACAACATATTTATATCATGTTAAAAAGTCATATTGCCTATTTATATCACTATCCTCTAGATAGATAAATTTTTACCGGTTAGCTCAATAAGGTAAAAATATTTTTGTATATACTCATGTGATGCGCCGCTGGTTTATAATACGTTGCATTCTACCGTGAGGTCGCAGGGTTTTATCCATTTCAAGCAGATGATGGAATTTAAGATTACTATAAATTACAAAATCTTTTTAATTAAGATAGTATATTGAGTATGTTGAGATCGGAATAGTGAGTCATGATTTCACTTGATTATTTCATTTACATCAGACGTTTTCAATAGGTGCAAATTTATATTAATTATAATTATGCTATATAGGCATAGATATTGTTAGTAAAATGTAGTATGTATAAGAATATTTATCGTCTACAAGATAAAAAAAGCTTATATGTTCATTTAAATCAATTATGGAACGAAATAGCCTTAGAATAAAGATTAAATTTGATCGGCACCATTTTTATATTTGACACGTTTTGATAAAGGCCTTAAGTGGCTTTATATTACGGAATGACGTGCCGTCAAATTTTATTAATCTTGCTCCCCGCTCTTTTATGGCTGCTCTATAAATTTTTAAGCGACGTTTTATCAACTAACGATTGAAACGGCCCGCCTAATCATATTCCTTATGATATACATTAAAGTGGTCAATGTTTGTTTGTCCGAATGTTCGACGACAAAAAGAAACTTGTCGGAGAGCCGGTTCCGCGTTTTACCGAAAATGAAATATTGCTATCTATGCATATGGAGACAATTTACCTTGAATGATGAATAATAATAGCCGTTGATGTTTAAATTACGGACTTTCGGTAAATGGATTAATTACTCGCATTTGAATAACAAAATCGAAAATATAATGGCATTTATATTTATCGATAATGAATTAATGCGTAATAGATAGCGCGTATGAAAATATCATTAGCAGACCGGTGCGCTCGTGAATTTTCCGTGTGAATAGAATACCAGTTAATATCTGACTTGTCATGAAGGGGATTTTGAATTATGAGATGGGGGGACTCACGATGTAGTTTCCTTTTTTTTGTGCGTAGCTTAGAAGCGTCGTAGCTAGAAGTCTTTCAAGTCGCCGCTTCCCGCAACGGGAGCTTCGCAACGGTCAGATTGCGACGGACGAGTTTCCAAAATCCTAATCCACCGGCTTGCTGCTAAACGCAAAGGCATCTGTACACCATTCCAAATGAAACGGTGGCCCCAGCCGCAACGTCATCCCGGATTATAAACGCTTTGTGCCGACGCGCACCTCGTCGGCCCTTCCGACGTAAACAACGCGAACATGCGACAAAAACGCACCTATTTAACAACAAATGCTTTTGATTTCTCACTTCCAAACCTTCTCCCGTCTGACCGCACTGTTGTTTTCATTCAACGTCAAACGCGAGCTATTAAAGAAGCTTTTAAGAAACACAAGGTGAAAGTCGAAAAATCATAGCGATAAGCTAATTTATTCGACAACATTATAAACTTATTTTAATAACCGAATTAAAATACCATAAAGATAAATCGTACGTGAAACACAGTTAAACAAAAATATCCATGCACTCTTAACTGTCCTCCAACATGGTATGCATATTTAACAAATGCTTAATTTCTGAATGCAATAAAAATCATATAACGGATTTATCACAGTTGATTTAAAATGTAATTTATAAAAGCAACTGTAAAACCTAACTAATTAATGGTTGATTTAAATAATACAATTTAAAGCAAAGAAATATTTAATTTGTTTTGAATACGATTATTTTATATAATGAAAAGAGAATAATACGATGACATGCAATGTATAAAGTTGCGCTGTATGTCACTAAATTAATTTGAATTCTAAAATGACGAAATAAAACATACAACAACGATCTTTGAATTATAACAATGGATGATTAGACGTGTACCCATATCAAAGGTCGTGTAGATTTCCTTCACTATGAATTTAATATAATAGGTAATAAGTAATCATACAATATGCGTAAGGCGATAAAAATAATTTATTTACGCCCAATAAATGGTTCTTCGCTCTCCTCGACCTGGAAGTAAAGTAAACATCGGTCTTTGTCCAAAGGTTATTTTAAAAAATTAATGACGGAATTAATTTTCAATATTTCAAACACACAACGATTTCCATTTTGTTTTTTGTGTAATTCCAATTTTTCCTCCCCATAGATTATTTTTGTTCCGTCATTTTTTTTTAAATCAGTAAATTTCATGTGGATGTTTCAACACCTAATAATTATTTGCCTACGAACCTCGAAGAAAAACAATCAATACATTTCTGTGAGCATATTAAGAAACGATGTGTTAGCGTGGACATTAGCAGAAAAGTGAAAATCGCAAATGAAAACAAGATTTGTTCCCAGAACGTGTGACGATAACACAATTCGACGTTCAATTATTTTAATGAATGTTTCTTTTAAAACAGCGGCTGCCAGCTACTTTGTTTTTGCAACCAACGACAACTAGTAATAAACGAAAATTGATCGCAACTGCTTATTCAGCCATATTCACTCGTACGACACACACAATTACGCTTATTAATACACAATTAAAAATAATGATCACTCGCTGGTTATTCCAGACATGGAAGTATAAACTGATATTTTCTCATGTGCACGTACGTACGGTTTACTTCATTATTTAAAACGGACAATCCTTTTCGTGTTGTTAATATGAAGGATGTTAGTTATGTTATATAGGTATATTGGTGATATCGTTCACACAGGAGTTGATCCCCTTTAAACCATATATTATGTAAATAAAAATACCAGCATTTGTTATTCTTCCCGTGAAACTACTTTGAACAAAAAATTGTAACTGACATTATTTTCAAATGTTGTGATATTGTTACAAGCATTAAATTAAGTAACATATTATGAATCATAACAAAGTGTACTTACAAGTATAGAAAAATTACGTCGTGAAACGGTACGTTAATCTATTTCTTGTTTAATAAATACGTTTTTATACATCCATCCTCTCTCCATTAGAATTTTGCCAAGTTACCTTATCAGGTATGCTTAACGCCTTTTGAAGAGCTCAAATGAAAGTTCACCGGCATTTAAGACAGCGATTATTAAATACGAGAGCTGTTCCTCGGCTCTTTTTTTTAATTCTATGCATCTTTTTACGATATCAGACTTCATACAATACCTAGAATTACAGCTTATTAATTTTTAGACTAGAAAATCGCCGGACTATTCTTCTAATAATGCTAAAATTTTTCCTAGGTAAAAAGTTCAAAGCGTTTGTCATAATTATAATCTACTTCCAATAATTAAAATAGTTCACTCCAGAAAACTTACTAGATGACCTGTTGAAACGTCATCCGCTTCAAATCCACGTTTTTTACCTACTGTTTATTTGTTTTTGTACGGCGGAAAAAATTCACCCACCTAGAATACTTTAGGAAACATTATTAAATATTCAACATAACCCATCAAAGTGTAACTTGGAATGCAACAACCTTTGCATTTCTATCAGTACCTTAAGTTCTCTAGCCTTGATAAACTTAAGCAGCCCGAGTTTTGATAAGATTTTAAAACTTTTTGTTCTTCAAGATTACTAACATAATTAATACAGTTCTCGCTAACACATAACTATTGCACTAAACGGCAGCAATAAGACCAGGCGGGCCCAGCGCGGCTTTAAATACATTTTTTATCATTTCTGAGACGTGAAGGTTTCCTCGCGATGTTTTCCTTTAGCGCGTGGCAAATACCATGCAATGGGAAAATTAATGAATGCGTGCCATTTTTTGTGTCGTAATTTCTTAAAGCTTTTTTAGATCTCTTTGATCTATTGTGACCGCCGCTGAAGCAATATCCATTCGGGCAATCGTCGAAGTTGTGAATGACATTCCCTTGTTCATTCTCGAGTTTAATTCGATTTTAGAATGCGTACAGCGGTTTACGGCTACAAATCGCAGATACACGGTTTTTGAAACTGTTTTTAACCGTTTAAAGACAATTTCAGACTTAACTCAGTTTTGAATACCATAGTCGTACATCTTCAAACAATCAGCTTCATTCAATTTACCTATCTGCTTTATCGACTGCTGCGCATTTACTTATCTATTATTGATATGAATCGATACATTAGAGTAAAATTAAAGAAAGCTGAATACACACTGCATCTTCGAATGACCATGGTTTTAAAATATGGAGAGTCAATGAACTAGGTCGCTGGATGACGAAAGCGGAAGATCGTACTCTGTGGCGTACTCTTGGGGAGGCCTATGTCCAGCAGTGGACTGCAAAAGGCTGATTGGATTGGATTGAATTGGAATGAACTAGGACAGATTACCGATTGGATGATACGAAAAATATAAACAATTACAGTTTTTTGCATACGCTTTCCATTAAAATGCATGAAAAAAAATATTTTCATCTTCCTTCCAAATACGAAGAGGGTACACCGCACCACTTACGGGTCCGGTAACTTCCGATACAGCCAACGAAACAGAAACTGCCACCGCAAAAACCGATTGTTCGCAAGCTATTAGTTACCAACACGAATTCCATTAAACAATGATAGCGTGTTTTGCTCGAATGTATTTTAATAGTTACTAAATAGCGAAATAGCGCGCCGCCATAATTCCGCTGTATTTCTCGCTGGTTACAAAAAAAAACCCTTTAATTGTTCAAAATGGCTAATTGGCTAAATATAAGTGGCTGTTTGAGTGTCAAACACAGTTACAGCTAAAGAAAATTATTCAATAAAACGCAAAACAATAACAGAATTGGCAATGCAAATAGTAACGAGCGAATAATTATTAACCATATGTACAACAATAAAAAATAAGATAATTATGAATGCGCTCACTAATAACGTTGCGAAAAGTTAGATTAAAAACATTATTTTTCAATTTTTGAAATTTTTGTTTAAGTTTTCATTATTCAATTCTTTAACTTGGTGTTATAAAAATAACCAAAAGTATTCTGCATGAATTTGGTATTAAAGCGTAAATGATATCAAAATCTTGTATTATATATAATTGAAATATAAACACAGATTTTATAAATTTATACAACCAAAACTAAAGCCGGACATTTTTAGGTTTTAGCCATTTTAACTACGAAGTTTTATCGAACCCTGGCTTACCACTTGGCATGTTGCGTTTTAAATTGAAAAAAGATGTAAAATACATACAAAACATGTTCTAGTTTATAAAATTAAAAAAATGTGTAGCATTTTTTTTAAATAATTACATTTTGCCTTTTTTATTTTTCTTATATCGGACATCCAAATAAACAGTCCCACTTCGCGAGAATGAAAAATGACGGCGGGCCTAGCTGTAATTACGGGTATCGGCGCCATATCGGGTGTTTCAACAAAAAACTCTTTTTCCATTGAAAAATGCGGTTATGTCTTAGTAGCGGTCCCGCCCGCAGGACCGGAAAGACTTAAAAAACGCCACTTTCATACGAATAAGACCGCGCATCCATTAACGAACGAATGGTATTTAGATGGCCGCGCACAATGTATCTCGCTTAGCCTTAACGTGACAATCAAAATTATTAAAGTTCACTTAATAACACTATTTCGTTACCGTTATGTTCAATTATCAACAACCTACTCTTTAATTAGAATAAAAACAACCATATTTGGATGTAAAATGTAAGTATGTATTCGTTTCACAGTAGCGATCCACATGGCCTAAACATTGAGAGCGTTTTAAATAATGGAATTATTTCAACACCATAAGTTACATCCGATTTGGAAACTTTACGTGCATCTGAATTTCAAATAATTTTTGATTTCTATAGTGCCAAAAATAGTTCTTCATCAAATGGTTATCACACTGGAATAGAAAACACTCCCCTTGTTGCAATACACTCAATATCAATCTACGTTCAATATCGCGGTAACTTGGAAGAGCTTACATACCGACTTCTGAAAAGCTCGGTGTCCTGAGTAGAGCGAGGCAGTATTACCTACCGTTCCTTTGCCTGCAGCTTTACAAAGCGCAGATTCAGCTCCACATGGAGTACTATTCTCATCGGTTGTGGCGCCCCAATATACCAGCTCCTTCCATTTGACCGAATCCAACGTAGAGCTCAAACCATTGGCAACCAGGTTCCTTCCAATGACCCTTTGAATCTGCGAAGAGATGTTTCATCTCTTTGCATTTTTTACTGAATCTTCCGCGGGAGTGCTCTGAGGAGTTTATCGAATTAATACGTGCTTCTGTATTTCACCTCCATACGACGCGTCAAACTGCCAAATACCATCGCTACCATATCGATGGTTAGCACCATTCTGCGTTTTTCATGTAACTTTCTGCCACGCACAACCACGTTATGGAATCAGTTGTAACCAGTGGTATTTCCTTGAAGGTAGCAACGCATTTGTGACTCCTCTGGTGTTGCGAGTGTCCATGAGCGGCGTTGAACACTTATCTTCTGGTGACTCGTCTACCTCCTGCCATTTAGCTTCCTTTTCGTTTAAAAAACTTAGTACTAGGTATTTAGCATATACAAAACAATTTATAAGGAATGAAATTTGTTTAGAGTTAATATTAACAATGGACGCAATTACCCGATGAAAGTAACAAACAACATCATAAAACATCTCGGGAAATTCTTCAGATGGAAAATATTCAACACACATACTTTTCTATCGTTTCTCAGTATTTCATGAATTGTTTTATAATTGGTCACTCAACAAAAAATGTATCATATGAAATTAGACTTTTAGGATTTTAATTTCGAAGAATACATTAATTTTCATACTCCATTGCAAAATGTTACGAACGATGTTGACTACTAGCGCCATCTCTTGTCGAGTAGTAATGCCATTTTTCGAACTTTATGAAATAAATAAAATGTACGAGGCACTTAAACCTAATACTTTAATTATAAATTATGCTCTCTTTATTTTTAAATAAAGTTTAGCCTTTTTCACGAAGACACACAAATACCTTTCCGAACATTTTAGTCGTCTTCGATTTATTATTGCGGCCTTATAAACAATAAAATCAGGAAATTTTAGTTTAACCGGCTTTCTTAATTAAATGAATATAGGTGTATTAGTAAAATATTAGTACATAATAAACCTTTGATGGATATAAATAAATGTATGATCCCCTTAATATTATTATCAACGGTATCCTTTATAATGTTTACGCGAATTACCACTTACCAATCACACCATTGAATTCATTAAAATACTACTAATTATGTGGCAAACACACAACAACATTTTAACATTTTGTTCTATTGTTTTAGGTGAAAGTTCCGGCTCGTGTTCGGAAGAAGAAATAAACAATGTCTTACCTGAGGAGGCGCGAGACCGACCTGATGCACATATGTGCCCACGATGTCAAGAACAATTCGAAAACCTACACGACTTCTTGTATCACAAAAGGCTTTGTGATGAGAAGGCAATACAAATGGGTGAAGAGAGAATGCACTCTGATCCAGAGGAAATGGTTGTTTCGGGAGACGAAGAGATGGATGGGCCTAACAAACGCTTAGACCAAGTACGGAGGCATAGACAGGACGCCGAAAATAATAACAGCCTTGAAGAAGGCGAGGCGGAAGTACCGGAAGCTGATGTACCACCAGTGGGACTACCCTTCCCTGTCGCCGGCCATGTAACGCTTGAGGCGCTACAAAATACAAAAGTAGCCGTAGCTCAGTTCGCTGCAACGGCCATGGCCAATAACGCAGATAACGAAGCGGCCCTGCACGAGCTAGCTGTCTTACAGAGCACGTTGTTCACGCTGCAGCATCAGCAAGTGTTCCAGCTGCAATTGATTCGCCAACTACAAAATCAACTGTCACTGACGCGACGAAAAGATGAACAGAATCAAAGTCCACCGCCTAATGAACCTGAGTTAATCGCACCTGCGCCGCCGGCTCGATCACCGTCACCGCTTCGTCCGCCACGGGAGCCATCTCCTCCTATACCCACTCCCCCTTCAAGCCAAAACTTGCCGTCAAACCATGGACATATAACGCCCAAATCGGAACCAATTACCATTCCCAAACTCCCAACCTCGTCACCACCAATGATGACTCATCCACCCTACAGCTCCATATCGTCATCGTTGGCATCTTCCATTATTACAAACAATGATCCACCGCCGTCCTTAAATGAACCAAACACTCTCGAAATGCTGCAGAAACGAGCACAAGAAGTACTCGATAACGCTTCACAAGGCTTATTAGCCAACAACCTTGCCGATGAGCTCGCTTTTCGTAAGTCCGGAAAGATGTCACCGTATGATGGAAAATCTGGAGGGAGAAACGAACCTTTCTTCAAACATCGCTGCCGATACTGTGGAAAAGTTTTTGGTAGCGACTCTGCACTGCAAATCCACATTCGATCGCACACAGGTGAAAGGCCTTTTAAGTGTAATGTTTGTGGATCTCGATTTACAACCAAAGGAAATTTAAAAGTTCATTTCCAAAGACACACTGCGAAATTTCCGCACGTGAAAATGAACCCTAATCCGATACCGGAACATTTGGATAAATATCATCCTCCGTTATTAGCACAGTTGTCGCCGGGGCCGATTCCTGGAATGCCACCCCATCCACTACAATTCCCTCCGGGTGCTCCCGCACCTTTTCCGCCAAGCTTGCCTTTATATAGACCACCGCATCATGATCTTCTGCCTCCACGTCCGTTGGGTGACAAGCCTCTTCCACCCCACCCTCTTTTCGCAATGCGAGAAGAGCAAGACGCTCCTGCTGATCTTAGTAAACCCTCTGCACCGAGTCCTCCTCGCGCACCAGATATGTTCAAATCTGAACCCCAAGACGATGAATGCCAACGTGAATCCAGTTTTGAGGATAACGATCGTGTATCGCCTAAGCGAGAACCGGAAGAAAATGACGCTGGTCAGGATGCTGAACAAGACCAATATCCTTCAACTTCACCATACGATGATTGCAGCATGGATTCAAAATACAGCAATGAAGATCATATTGGCAGAGAAAGTCCACACGTGAAGCCTGATCCAGATCAACCGGAAAATCTCTCAAGTAAGAATTCACCGATATCTGGACCAATTTCAATAGCAACGGGACTTCGTACTTTTCCCAGTTATCCTTTATTTCCACAATCCCCTCCTAGCAGTATTTCTTCGGGTAGCATTACGCCTTTTCATAATATTCCGCACGGCGTTGTCGAGCCCGATCTAACTCGCGATCCTTTGTATTTCAATTCATTACTGCCACGGCCTGGAAGCAACGACAATTCATGGGAAAGCTTGATAGAAATAACCAAAACTTCTGAAACTTCCAAATTGCAACAGTTAGTCGATAAAATAGACAATAAGGTATCTGACCCCAACGAATGCATTGTATGCCATCGAGTCCTATCATGCAAGAGTGCTTTACAAATGCACTACCGAACACATACAGGCGAAAGACCATTTCGATGCAAACTTTGTGGGCGTGCTTTCACAACAAAGGGCAACTTAAAAACGCACATGGGCGTACACCGAATAAAACCCCCGTCACAAATGTTACACCAATGTCCAGTTTGCCATAAAAAGTTTTCAGACCCCACTTTACTACATCACCATATACGGCTTCATACCAACGAACGCAGCAATACCGCTTACGATCAGGCCCGCAACGTCGAAGCGAACTATTTCCCTCTGTTGAGCAATTCCTCCGACACGTTTGAGTTCCCCAGCTACCGGCCCATCCCGCTCTCTCTGTTCCCCACTCCTTCCACTCCCGGCGACCGACGGGCGGACTCCCGCGGGACCGACGACGAGAGCGGCCGGGACGAGCGTGAGCCCGCCGCACGGGGGTTCGACGACGACTCACACATGAAGGATCGTCGAACTTCGCCGCTCTCCGTCTGCGCCTCGGCGTCCGAATGCGAAGTTAAAACCATCACAACAACGGCTTCCCTCCCATCGGCGACAGGTTCGGAGAGCGGGCGGAGCGCGCGGGCCACTCCACCGTCACCATCGCTGTCGACGCTGTCGACGCCGCCGCGGCTGCCCCAGCACTCGCCGCTGCCCTCACCGCCCACGCCCCTCGCAGCGCTCGGTGCTCTCGGCGGATCGCCCTTCAGCCCACTCGGACTCGCGTTCCCCCCCGCAGGTATGCGATAGCGGGACGTTGTATGTGTCCGCCCCGGTCGACCGAACATCCGTTCCCTCCAAACACGCAATCCCAATAATGCAAACTAGTAACAACCCCACGCCGGGCGCTAGATAACACGCTGAGAGTATACGTTCCAAATGCATCCCAACGAGATAATGCCCTAATCATCGCTTCCATGAGAGTTTCATCGCGCGTTCGGACAATATAAGTGACACTGAATAGTGGATTTATTTGTATGCAGTGCGCGGCAACACAACGTGTAACATCTGCTACAAGACATTCGCCTGCAACTCGGCTTTGGAGATCCATTACCGCAGCCATACCAAGGAGCGACCGTTTAAATGCACCGTCTGCGACCGTGGATTTTCCACCAAGGTATGTTGCATTATCATATGTATAACATATATTTTCAATTTTTTTTAGTCAATAAATGATAAAAACAACTTTTATTTAAAATTATTCATTTAAACAAACTGAAAATCTATTTAATTACTGAGACTATACATACCGCAAAGCGTTATGCCATAGCTGCGTACCTTAGTGCGTAGCTCCGATCGAAAGTGTTGGCACGATGCCAGTTTTTACTTTATTGTTACACAAATAGCGCCACATAGCAACACTTTAATGGGAATTTTATCTAATTGTCACTCTCTTTTCTCTAACCGCAATGGTAGTACCACTGTAAACGTCGCTAAAACACAACATCTCAAATTAACTACAAATTGATATTGACTCACAAAAGCATTGATCCAACATAATATATAACATTCCCGCATTTCTTCTCGGTGTATATAAGTAACGCTTAGATAGTTTATGTGAAGCAATATTGGTTTAACAAGCGGTACCTACATCTAACAACGCGACTTGAATCAAATAACATAGCATCAAAGTCACAAGTTTACTCGGCGACTGGCAGCGAGTTGCCAACACGCTGCAGCGAACTTCATGCTCTGGTTTCATTTCATCCAAGTTTTAGTGCATTAATTTTGCAAGCGGTAATTACAAGTCTCCAGCCGACGCTCCCACTTCGCATTAGTTCTGCCGTTGTCTTCCAACAGCACATCCGAACCGAGCCGCTGTCGACCTGCCGTGTAATTGACGACGAACTCTACAAACTTGTAGGCTCGTTTGTCTTGATTTAATCAAAATCTTTTGAATTGTTCACCGCGACCGCTTACCAAGATAAATATTTTGATCAATAATAATGATATCAATTTTTGTAATGAATCATACTTCCAAGTAATAATTAGGGTAGTTTCAGTTATGCAATTTCAGTACAAGTTTATGCAGGTGTTACCTTTTTACGTTACAAATATAATATTAAAATTCCTAACTAATGCGTAGTTTACAATTATAAACATAGATTTATACATACAAAATTATATTAGATAATCTGGAAGATATTACCTGATTTACGTAGACTCGTATTATAAATTTAATTTAATGGTCTCTGAAAATTTCATTCTTCTCTCTAAGTCTGTTAACAATTTCATTTTCAACTTCAATGTTCAAAACTGTTTCGATGATTTTACTTACGATTTATTATCAATGGATTGATAAATCATTTTTTTTTTACAATATTCGCAATTATATTCATGACAATTACATAGGAAAACGCAACATTCGCAGCGCTTAACGCATTGATCGATATTAAGTCGCTGCAACCTTATCAAAACACACATACGTTAATTATACTCATTTTTTTTGGCGATTATAATTATTTTTATTGGCTACTGTAATCCAAAAAAATATACATAGCACAAAATGTAGAGCTACTGGAAGGATTCTCCTCAGAAGTACCCCGGCCTCACAGAACGACGACGTACAGTGCAAGCATGTTAATGCTTTAAAGTGTTACACTTTTGCATTTCGTTGTTATCCTAAAATTTACATTTGCAACACAACTGCCACCCCACGTGTATTATTCTTGTCCATGTATGGCGGTAGTTAATTTAAATACGAACCGCCTACTAATTTGCGACCTTCTCCTATACAAAAATACAGCACGAAAATTACAAAGCTGTAAAGAAATTGCAAAGCTGTGGTTTGTTTTCGTCCTCTCTACCTCTCTTATAATTACTTATCGCTTTTGTAATTTTGAACATGTTATTTAAGTACAAAAATTGAAAACAATTACCGTCATAGATAATCCGTTCGACCTAAAAAAACATAATGAATATATATTGTTATATCTAACAATTGCATTCGATATATTTACAGCATTCGAAAGTATGATCATATCACTTCCTATCGCTCTCGTCTTACACGGCTTACAGTTAAACAAAAACGTAATTGAAAGTAGAATACTGCTTACTTCTTTCTACATTTTAAACGATCCAGCTTTTCGTATTATCTTAAAGGCAGATTTAACCTTTCGCTGAACGATGAAAGAAGTCTCCGTTCTTCATCTCACCTAAAAACTACCATTCCTCCTCATACTACCAGTTTCTTTAGTAATTATTTCACATTTTAGTCGGAACTGGATAACTTTGGTTCATGATATACATACGTGATTCAAGTTTTGTTTGAGGGCCTTCATAACAGGACCACATTCAAAGCTTGGTCCTTGATTTATACCACGCCCCGCGTTAACTGAAAGAGAACGCCAAAAGGTATTGAGTTAACCCTTTGTAATTCTTTAGATAATTGCAATAAAGAATAAATAAATAATTGAAATCATGACCTAACTGTCAATTGTAAATATATCCATTTAAATCTTACTAAGTTAAAACACTAACCATATTAATAATTAATCCAAGGAATTTAGAAAAGACAAAATTAAAGGACACGAAACGACACGTCCATGAGTTCCAAAAAGGCAGTCAGTCCCGTCAGATGGGGGTTGAACTAAAGTCAGTTTTCGTTTGTTTTCCAAATTTGGACTCAGAGCGGCCGCCCACTCAGTTCCGATCTTTTTCAGGCCACGGTAGCATCGCTAATATTATTCTACTTATATTTCGATAGCCCTTGATAAACCACATTCATTTAGGAGTTACAAACATCTGCATCTAAGAAAATAAATTCTCTTTGATAGCAACAGTCCTTTAAAAATTTACAATGTTGTTTGTAAAAAATGCTGGCGTTGAAATAAAAAGATTATCCGTACCATAAACGAACGCGAAGAATGCTGCTGCCCATAATCATAATTTATATTAAAATAATAAAGCAATTTGAGCTATACTTAAGGAAATTAATTCAATGTTATATTCAATAAATTAATGTTGTTAAAAGTGTTTTTATTTTTATGGTGATTCAAGTTTTATAATCAGTTCGGCCAATGCTTCATGCTTTCGGAACCGCGCTTGCGTCGCGGACCATCTCGCCGCGCCACAAAAATGACAAGTCATAAAAATAACGTCACGGAAAACGATCAGAATATTAATTCATGTCGTAAAATATTTATTACTTATAAATCCTTGAGCCTTTACCTACGCCTCTCGTCATAAAAAGATTATTTATGCTTGACAAAGTAACATTTTTCGTATACTTCTGAAAGTGTCTGTGCAGAGGTCTCACTAATAAAATATAGGTTATTTATGGCGGCGCCCCGTTTAAACTTTAAAAGATTCTCTCCTTTTCCCCGCTATTACTGATACTTTGTGTAAATTTGTGCATATAAACATTAAATATGCGTATAACAAATAGTCCCCTACTTTAGTGTATACATACAGAACTGAAATTCTGTAACAAAAAATAGCAACATTTATTCGTATTAAATTTTACTTGTATACTAATTAGAAAACTTGTTAACGTAGCAAAATGTAGTAAATACTACGATAATGACATTATTACATCCACTTATACCAAACCGTCTAAATATTATTTTTGATGTGATTGTACTTAGCTGAATGTTCACTAGGTGGAGATGTAGGAACGAAAATGTTTAAGTACTTTAGCTTTTAAAAACAAAAGAAGATGGTGGTACGACTTTTCAATGTTCGTTATATACAGTAATTATCGACATTTGAACAAGGTAGGTAAAAATCTAAGAAATTATGAAATATTAGAAAACTTGTGTAATAAAAATTTTGAAATCGTCCAATAATAATGTTTGCATTACGGACTTCTCATTATTACCCCCGTGATGGCGAGTATCAATTACAATGAGATATGTACTGTTTTGAAGCTATATAGGAATTTTATTTGTACTACATATGGGTATATACTTATAAACGTATATGTATAAAACTTGCATTCATGAATATTTTGCGGTGCTAGGGCCACGCAACACTGTTACACGAATGGGCAGGCCCGTCCGGGTAAGGACCACGACCTCACAGAAGACCGGCGTAAAGTAAAAGTGTTACACTTCTGCGTTTCGTCTGGTAAGTGAAGTGAAGCTGAAGCCCACTTTACTTTAATTTGGCAAGTCAATGGACGGCGGTTATCACATAACATCAGGTGAACCTCCAGCTCGTTTGCCACTTTCTTACATAAAAAAATAAATAAATAAAAAAATAATAAATAAGGAATAAATTATTTATTTATTAGCTGGCATTTAACGCTCAACACTATAATTAGTCAAACGACATAAACAGCTAGTAAAAATTAATACATGTTCCAATTCATTTAAAGACAATAACATATAAAAAATGTGTGTGTGTACTTATGTACATGTGTTGGAAGTTATACTTCTTTGGCGTAACAAGATAAAAATCTTTACAAAAATTTTATCTTTCGCCTTATTCGACGTTTGTAGAAAAAACGACACTAACAACAGAAAAACGGTTTTTAAAGGTTTTTGTATAACGCATTAACTACTTAAATAAAGTTTATTTAATATCACAAAATCAATATCGTGAATAAAGTTTTTAGTTTTCACGCAAACATACGTAGATGTCTAGCTAACTTCAGGGTGTCGGTTTTTCGTGACGGAGTGCACGCGGATCATAAAAATTTACTCTCATCTCTAACGTGCCAAAAGAAGTATAACTTAAAAAATTAAAAAGACTGGAAGTCGTGACAAAACGTAATTATTTTTTATTGAGAGTTTGTTAACTTTGATGTCATGTAGATAATTCAGACGGTATTACAGAAAATTAAAAATTTATAGATCATGTTCAAAACAGTTATAACGAATTCACTTTGAATATGACCAGTTAAACCTTAGGTATCTCTGCACTTTGTATATAAAAATAACATCTTTATATTTTCTAGCATTCATTCAAAAATTTTATCTATTGTTTTAGGTCATTGACTAGAGTAAAATCGCTTTAATGAATTATTAGATATGAATAATGAATATTAATGAATGATTTTAAAAACTTTGAGAAAAAAAAAAAAGCAAGTGTAATCGTAATAAGTAATTTTATAAACAACACTTAATTTAAACAAAAGTTCTTTAATTACCTATTTCTAAAACTTTATATGGCCAATAAGTTATAAATGGATGAATACTATTAAGCCAACACTAAGCGAATTACCTTTACATGAAGTTAATGTAAGTAATTCATTATTTAAAAAAAATAACTGAGTTTCGGAACGCATCTGACATATACTGGCGTTCATTTGTTATCAATTAAATTTGTAATAGCTACTTAATTATGTACGATTACTATCTACATTCCAAAACTTTTATATAGAACCTTAGCCCTCGTAAATATCGATATTTATGTAAAAAGATTAACTTGGCTAGAAATATACGAGGAGCAAACTTAATTATTTTTTTCTGTCTATGAACGCATGAGTTTTCATTCCAAGAACTCTATCAACATATATTTTAACAAACTATAGAGTATAATACTGTTACATACATATAGAGAAAAGTTAAAATTTTGATTTGTTTGTTTCTATGCGCAACTGCAACCATTTGAAAAAAAAAATTTTAATATTTAAAAAGTACATTATTCTCGATAAATACAAGCTTTATAATATTACGTATGCATTTTTATTTTGCATTAAAAGAAATTAGATCTGTCAGTCACTACGTACGTCTACTTGAGAAGTCAACAGTAAAGTCAATTTTACTGGCCAATCTTAAGACTTACTAGTAAGTGTTTTATTCAAACTTGACATTAGCTGAATCATCAAATCTCCCTTGAATTTACAATAAAATCAAAAACTGAATCGCAAATCTACTGTAAAAACTTAGTTGCATTTGGGTGAAGCCGGGCGGATAGATAGTATTCTATAAATCTATATAGTAATGATCGTACTGAATAGAAAATAGAAAATAGTAACAAAGATTAATTTACTTTTGTATTTTATGTCAGTGACAATATAGCTTTTGTTTATAGCAATAAAGGTGTATCAAAGGCAACCTAAGAGTTAACCAGCGAGAAGGTTGCTGCTAGTTTGAGAGGTGTTCATGTCGTGCTTATCTTTATCTACTTAATTACACCCTTCATCTTACAAAGGAGAGGAAAGGTCAATAAACTTTTTATACCTCTATAGTAAGCCTCTCCGTAATATAGCTCCGTTCTGCATGTTAGAATGTATATTTTAGAAAGTGATTGGGACCAACTAGTAACAAACTCCATCGGTCTAAGTATTATTTATGCTGCTCTATTAACGTACAGAATTAACCAATTGATATCAAAAGCAGCAACGATACATTCTCTTAACAGGATATTGAATTATTGCAAGAAATTGCTTGTGACATGTTTATGCTCTTAACAGGAAAGATCTGCGCTGCGATATAGATACATTAGCCGTGCTTTATTCTAACAAAATTCGTTCCTTAAATTTAAATAATTATCAAAAAAACATACGTACGAGAATACTATTATCGTACGCAATACTAATAATAGAGTTAGAGCATTAGACATCTATCGAATATAACCGGCTACACCTTCAAGCGCATTACAATTGATACAAAATTACAATAAACGTCGGCTCCACGAGTACAAAGCACTGGACGGACCGCGAAAGTTCAAACGATAAACTATTCGTGCACTGTTAATAGTTTATTGACTTCTGAAATAATTCTCAACATAATAGCTCTGATATTTTTTAAACCTTACACTAGGTTATACATCAATTACACCTTAGTTAATTTCTCTAGTAAAAAGTGATATATCCATGTTGAAAGGTTACCTTAAACATTATCGTTTTTGCTCACACTGATCGTAACATTAGGAAATGGAAAGGTTCGAAACAGCACAAAGAACTTGCTCATCGAAGCTTAGCGGGATATAAGTCTCATGAAAACCAGTTTCAGATACCTACTTTGATATGTTCGCAAAAAGATACGGTGACTAGTAGTTTTCATTCTGTTAGTGTGAATGAGATTCTATTCAAATGCAATTAATACAGTCCATATTATAAACTAGTACAACAGCATAATTTGACTAGTGCACAATTCGATAGACATTTTAATGGCTACATGCACGTTATCTTTACATATTATTCGATTTTCGTTGTAAGTTTTTTTTTAAGGACCGTGAGAATTACAGAACCTTTGATTGCCATAAAGGCTCCCTGCATGATTTCCCAGAAATATTACAATTATTAAATGTAGGACAATTAAAAGTTAAAGTAACAACAATTGTTTCGCGCCTTTTATGTATCGATAATTAAGAGCGAACAAGTTATATTTTGGTAATATTATGAGAAAAGTAAGGACAGGTACATTATACTTAATACTAAAATAACACAATTAAAACATATCTCTTAACGTATCGTAAATACTTACAACGAATCATATATATCCTTAAGACTGTACTCGTTTATCAATAAATTTCTTAATATGGAATTTTAATGTTGCATTAAACATATGTAGGCAGAAAACATAAATAAAAACATCGATAATGCATATGAATCACCTACTTATTAACTAACTCCCCGTTATACTATGGATGTGACCTCGCTTATAATATTCATAAATCACGCACCTTATCTATAACTCACAGAAATTTTAGGCAGCTAATTAAAATAATCATCAATTTCGACAAAGGTATTCCAATATTTAAGGCAGCTATCGTGCTACTTACGAAACTTAGATGTTGTAAAATAACTTTTGAACGTTATTTTTTATATTTGATTTAGGTAAATAAATATAGTATCATAATATTATATTTAGCGAAATGTGATTATAATAATATTAGAAAATGATTTTTATTCGCATTATGTTAATTGGACAAAAAAATTAACGCCAAATATTCATTTTATCCTGCTAAGCAAGACTTTTGAAAACTATCTTTCATCCTGTTTTTTCTTCTTCTGATCTTAAAACTCTTAAAATAATTACTATCCTATACAATTTGGATCAGGTATCATTCCCATTCCAAAATATTAATATAACTGAAATCGGAATAGAATTACTAAAAACTGTTTTTAAATGACACAAATTAACTACCAATGACAAAAAAGGTTTTAGAATATCACCAACCTCTTATCGTATGTAAAACATTTAATAAATATTGGGCATTAGTATCTATTAAAGCTACTATTGAAAATAAATTGCGTGAATACATTTTATATGACATATTGTTAACAGTTCACTATAACGCCGATCACAAACACCACTTGTGGAGTGCGGTGTGTGCGTGGTGCGTGTGTAAAGCTTTCGCGTTTTTGTGGTTCCAGAGCAGTGGCGGCGGTTGCCAGTGCGGTAGACGCGTGCGCGCACCCCGCCCGCCGCACGCCACTGCTTTGGACCTCTGGAACGCCTTCGTCTATCCGGTATGCGAGAGTGACGCCTGGGCGTGAACTCATACACCTACACAGTTTGTGGGCGGTGCATTCAGCATGCCTCCAAACTACATAAATTTCATCCGAACACTAAGAGAACACACAGTATAAAGAAGCGTAGACTATACCGCCGTCCATGCCTCTAACACCATTAGTTTACTACACAAAACTTGATTCCACTGGCCTGGTAATACTACGATACAAAATGAAATAAGAAGAACTTACTTATTGGCCCAAAAATATTAAAATAAATATATAACAAATATTAAAGTAGAGCAATGACGTTTAATCTAACTATCAGATATTATAATGAATCAGGAACGTAGTAACTTTATTATTCCTCACTTTTAAGTTTTATAGACTACTAGCTGTTATCCGCGGCTTCACTCGCGAGGCCAAAGGGAATTAACTATGACTTTTTATTATACACCAGAATAACTCGCAGATGGCTGAATTTTTTCCTGATTAGTTGACACTTATCATTACCTATATTTTGGACAATTCACACAATATCTGTATTAATTATAGCCTATGTGTTATTCTGATGTATAAGCTATATTATTGTAAAGTTTCATAAAAACCTATTCAGTAGTTTTTGTGTGAAAATTTAACAAAAATCCATCCATACACACAAACTTTCGCTTTTATAATATTAGTAAAGAAGTTCATAATTTTTAATTAAAAAAAAATATTAGAAATGGTGAACGTCGTCGACGACGAATCATAAAAAAAGCTAGAACACCGAACAAAACGATCATCGCTTTTAAAATTTCGAGTAGCGAGCGACTATTTTCATTTACGAAAGTGTCCCTCTACAGGGGAACATGAAGCAGCACATGCTGACGCACAAAATCCGCGATATGCCGCCCGGCTTCGACAAAGGCGGTAGCGGGTCGGGGCCGAACGAGGACCCACGAGAGCCCAGTCCGGACAGACGCTCGTCGCCGGACAAGATGGACCTGAAGAGGTCCCCGCCGGCTCACCCGCCGCCGCCTATGACCCACGCGCCGCCGATCGACATGCCGCCACTTCCAAAACGGCCGACCGGTAAGACCAAAGTCGACTTCAATCAGAACGGCGCCTCGCCGGCCTAACCAGTGTACGAAAGTGCAAGTGTCTAATTAAATGAATTATTTGTGACCTCATCCGCTTACGAAGAAGGAATACGAACGCCTAAAACCGCTCAATCTGTCATTCTACCGCTTCCATATTCGGAAATTCTAGTTCCATCGTTGACCACTTCTAATTATGATTTAAGTGGATTTAAGAAGGTTAATTATATTATACAATGAATACTTTTACCATCATAATAAGGAATGACGAACATAAAAATATAGAATTGAATTAAAAATGTTTTGGTTAAAAAAAAAAGTATTTAATTATTAAGGAAAATAAAGTCCCACGATTTTTAAGACTTTGCACAAAGCCCTATTCCCTTTAAAGGGTAGTTCTTCTAGCAATTTTGAACAACCATCGCTGAAATAGCTAGTAAAACATAATTGTACTTGTAATTATTTTAAACAAGCCCATTTTAGGGAGATACAATAAAAAACATGTGTGAGCAACTTTGTTGCGCTGACAGTAAAATATAAGAGCCGAGTAGTTACATCAATCGATATTAAGATGATTGCTGATGCTTAAAGATAAAGGCTAAAGATCCCAGAAGCCTATATGATGGAGAGAGGCAACTTTAATTCACGTGCAACAATTCTTCCAGTACCAAGCACTCCGAGTCATCCGCCGCCGTCTGCGTCCTCGAAGCACTTGTGCGGGGTGTGCCGCAAGAACTTCTCGTCTTCTTCTGCGCTGCAAATCCACATGAGGACACACACCGGCGACAAACCATTCCGCTGCGCAGTCTGCCAGAAGGCGTTCACAACCAAAGGAAACCTGAAGGTATTGCGTTTACAGCTGTTGTTTCTTGATGCTAAAAGTTGGCAAGCGAACAAGCGGGTCACCTGATGTCGGGTGATAACCGCAGACCATGGGCATTTACAGCACCTGACGGGTTGCAGATGCGTTCCAACCATTAAAAAGTTGACCCCGATTACTTCACTCACCAGACAAAACGCGAAAGTAAAATACTTCCACTTCACGTTGGTCTTCTGTGAAGCCGTGGTATTTCCAAAGACAAGCCTGCCCCCGTTCGTGCAACAACAGAATTTGTTGCGTGGCCTTACCACAATAAAAAATAGAAAGATATATTTAAAAGTCAAATATAATTAAAATTAATAGAAAAAATACCGAATTTTGGATTTTGGATGGATTTTTTTCTTATAATTTTCTTCTAAGTTTTACTTCTTGGATACTTGGCCCTTATCTAACAAAATATTGTGATATCTTCGTTTGTACTTCAATGTATAAGTTATTAAAATTTTAAGAAAAAGCGATTTTTATAAGCAATTAGTGTTCAATGATGTGTTTTCTTGCCATAGAGAAGTGGGGGCAAGGGCGGTAGTGGCTATAGAAGCAGCACAGATGAAGTCGCGGGTTTCTGCTGGTTAGCTATAAAAGTCAATAGACGTCTAAGTGAGGTGTAAATTGACAGGTGCATATGGGCACGCACATGTGGAGCGGTGGCGCGTCGCGGCGCGGGCGGCGCATGTCCCTGGAGCTCCCTCCGCGGCCTCTGCACGAGCCGCACGACTTGCTACGGCGACCTGACCTCTTCTACCCGTACCTGCACGCGCCCTTCCTCAACGGCATGCAGCAGAAGGTAACGACTCCGAACAATTTATATTCAACATTCCCTTACGCATCAACTAAGCGATTGATAATGAGCTTACCCGCGGTTGATGTAAAATAAGATCAGTTATAAAATTTTCCACTTGTTAAATATATACATAAGTTGATATGATTTTCACGGAATGCTACACGTTAAATTGAAAAACAGAGTAATGTTGTCTCTGGTCAAATGCCAAGCATATTATTCAAAAATTGGCTAAGTTATTACCGCAATAATGAGCCGTTGGCAATGAGTCCTCATTAAAGACAGTGACGACAGCAAAAATAAAGTAAACAACCTATTTATGCCCCACTGCTTGGCAAAGGCCTCAACAGTAAAGACCCTTCACCGTAGAGCACGTGATCAGTCAGCACTTAAAATTAACAATTTCATTGGTGCTAGCACCGGGATTGAACTAAGGTTGCTCGAGGATATTGAATTAAAAGCGAGCGCTCGGACACTGAGCTATCGCGTCAGCAAAACACATGAATATTCTGGTCGTAGCTGAACGAGATATCGGTGATACAGCAGAGCGCCGGTCAGAACGGCGTCGCCGGCAAGTTCCCGGGTTTGCTCGGCTTCGGTGCATTCGGTGGTGGACGGCCCGGCGCGGCCTCGCCGCTGGAGAGACCGCCGTCTCTAGAGGGCGGCGATGAGAGGCAGGCGGCGATGAGGGAGCTGGCAGAGCGTGGCAGGGAATTAGCCGAGCGCAGTCGCCAAATGCGCGAGGAGAGTGAGCACTACCGCTCGCCACCCGCACACGCGCCCCACCAGCCGCCCTCCGCGCAACCCTCCCCACCCACCCCCCACCACCCACACCCGCACCCCCTAGCCTCGCTTCCCCCACCAGCCCGCACCGAGGGCCTTACCGTCTAGCCACCACAGTTTCTAAACTCGATACACATTCCATTACTATCCAGCTTGAAGTCAAACCGAGATCGACTCGACTAAATAGCAGTGCGAGGCCACGGACGCCATCCGCGAGTGATCGCCGCAGAGCAGTGAAATGTTCATAATTATGTACAAAGATGTGGTAGTACGTTAAAAGAAGGACTGATAAATGATACGACGAAACGTGTGTCAGTTAATAGCTTAAGGAGTGCTGAATTTAGCGCCATGTAAGGGAGTTGTTATTCCACGTGTTATAACGCCTAGTATTAATGTAAGTAACTTATACGCACGAGTACGGGCCTGGGGCAATCGGGGACTCGCGTGAGTCCCACGTTTATGTCATTACTCTGTGATAGCGCACATTCAATGGCTGCATTTAGTAACAAGCCGAGTACATCTTAGAATAAGTATCGGTTGTCATCTGAACGCGTGCAGCCTTATGTGCTATACAACATCAAAAGTAATTAATTATAAATTATCCCAAAAATTAATTTCATAAATCTATCTATCTTTAAATGTATATAAATGTATGATAGTAGCAAAGGAACGAAATAGTTAAATTACAGTTTGAAAAATACTTAATTTTATATTCATACATTGCAACTGGAGTGCGATATGCATGATTTCCACCTTGCCCACATTCCAACTTGTTTAATTATCACCTTTCGGAACTGATTACTAAAATTATTGTGAATGTGCTTGTAATTACAGTAAATATAAATTTTACTTATTGCAAAGTATTCTTTTAAATTAAACTTTGAAAGTGAAGCGAAAAGAAAACAAAGTGATTTAATGCATGTATACCTACTGATAAAACTATTCTCACCCTAGATATTCAACTACTTTTTAATTATTGTAACAGAGGTAAATGACATATTCATATCATGTAAATTTAAAAAGTATTTGCATTTGAGGTCTACATAGTTTTAAGTATTTAGAGTCATAGCTATAATATGCTTTAGAATACTTCAACATATCTTTGTAAAAAAAATGTGAACGACTGGTGTTAACTCATTAAATAAAACATTTTACTGAAGATATACGATGTAAACAAAAATTTGCTAATATCTTATCGATCTTAACAGACTGAACTGTGAAACTGTTTCCAAGAACATTTTTTTCCAAATGTGCATTTGATTAATGCTTACAGTTGATTGAAGATATTAATTATTAAGTTATACTCAATGTCGTTCTGTCGGAACGAATGCAAAATGTAAGTTTTATATTCTCAAAGCCTAGGCATCAGTGTATAAATGTCCTAATAAATTATTTATTCATTCATAAATCATGCATACACTCTTAGTATTAAAATAAAGCTTGTGGGGCGATAGGCCGCTCGCAACAATTTAGTTGTCTAGATTAAATTCTCATAGCACCTACAAGTTATTAATTTAAAAGTTGCAAATAGATTTAGTGTAGTATTAGTCATGAATATGATGTGTCATGTCATGTCAGTATAAATAATCATTGTAAATTATTAAATGTTTATGTAAATGTCCAAAAAGTATTCAAATTATTTAAAAAACAATTATACTAATAATTATTTTCTTTTTTGTTATCCTTTACCTTGCCTCCCTTTTTATTTTGAACATTTTTTACTTAAGAGTATTTACTATAATTATATACTGAGTCACGTATTTTATTGCTCTTGAATTACAATAATTATAGAAATAATAATTTAATAGTAAAAACATGTGTCCAAGGTATGCAGGTATGGTAAAGTTCAATATATATTTTATTTTAAAGGCCCATTTACATGGTGCCAGTTTCTTGCCTGTTGTATACAATTAAATTGAAGCAATAAATGAGTTGCATGGTCTAAACAACAAATGGTCTAAACAATTATTGCGTGCAATTTATTGCATTCAATTATTGCTCTTGTATGTACAAGAAAATGGCATCGTGTAAATGGGCCTTTAATGACCGGTTGCAACTTAAAAGTATGAATGGAAATTTAAAACAAAACAGAAGTAAATAAACTTATAGAAATTAAAATGAATTACATTATGATACATAAATCAATAGTTAGTAATGTTAATTAAAAAGTATTATCATGTGGCGAGATATAATAATAACATTTGTCGGCAAGAAGTAACCGTAATTCCTTTTTGAATAGAATAATATTAAATTTTTTTACTCTTGGTATTTTATTATAAATTGTTGGTGCCGTGTAGACGACACTATAACGCATACAGGCTGTCCTGGCTCTATGTACACATAGTTTTCTAAAGTCTCGCCGATTGCGAATGGTAATATTTGATAAAAGTGGATAAGCTTACTTTTAACAAATGGGTATAGCTATTTCAAATACGTACAGACGTTTAAGTCAAAGTTTCGCAGTCCTTGAAATATGGCTTACAACTATCAAACGGCTGCAACTTAAACACTATAATATTTACACTTCACGACGGTCTTCTGTGAAACCGAGGTATTTCCCGGACAAACCTGCCAATTCGAGAAAAATCAGGAACTGACGCCTAGCCCTATCAGTATTCTTAGTTTATTGATATTATTTACATTCCTATACGTATGTACCGACGTACGCCATAATAATCCTCTCATTCTTTTACTACAAGTTTTTATACGCATGTGTATGTGTATCAACGTAGACTACCAATAGACATTACTTCATATTTCATAACTATGATAAAAGGGTTAAGAGGAAGGTATAAAATAAACAAAATATAATGAAACAAACCGATAATTTCGCCGATATTTATTAAAAAAAAAAATCGAGGTTAACTTAAGTAGACTGATGAAACAAAAGTAGATTTTGAAATATTAATGATCTAACGGTCGTTTTATTAACGACACGGTCGCTAATTGAACAAACTTTAGACGGTAAAGTAACCACATGGCTTGGGCGTAAAGAATGAAGTCCGGAACTCAACTCTCACGCCCGGTTTCTGAAACTCTGATCATCGTAGAAGTCAACTAGTCAGCTGTCATATGGCTTCTCAAATGTCATTTGAGTTGCCAAAGGATGGTTTAACTACTTGAATCATATTTAACATTCATAAAATCATTCTCTTCATCATTTCATTATAAAAGTTAGGCAAAAATAAACAACCAGAAGTGTTCATTGTATTCATTGAAAACCGCCAAAAAAGAAAAGAAGAAGAACTATTTGAATTGGTCATTCTGATCATTAAGAACATCATTCTGATCAATTCACAGAGTTTAACCATAACCATAACTTTTGGCAACTCAAATACCATTTGAAACGCCATGTGACAGCTGATTAGTTAACTTCTACGAACATCAGTGTTTCAGAAACCGGGCGTCAATAATCAACCATCATCGGGGATGCCGCGCCCATTTCTACGCGTTTAGAAGTTGATGACGCTGGCGAGCTTCTTCACCCTGTTCAGGAGGAGGTCGCCCTCGCGAATTGTCGCTTGGTACAAGTGCGAGCGGTCCGCGTCCGCCCCCCGTCCCGCTCCGGTCACCACGCAACCCGCCACCGCGTCTATGCGACACTGCAATCTGCCCGCTGCCGTGAAGCTGCAACATTAGAGCGATTGATTACTGAAAGAACCTATGTTAACGCATTTATCGCGTACACTTTTAGTTTTTGTTCTCGACGTTTCGAACCGTTTCAGCGTTCATGGCCACGGGACAGACTGAGGCGTTGGACGTCTGAGTGTCATTGTTGATCCGGGCTACCGACAGTTTTTAAATAATAATAATAATAATAAAGGTTTATTTAAAGAAATAATAGAGAATAAAAACATCAATAACAGAATTAAACATAGGAAGTACGTTTACAAATCGTATTTACATTTGCATAGTGAACCCTGCACTAGGTTGCAACCTGTCTCGCAATCATAACATTACTTTCACATCATAATTTAATAAACTAAAAGTTGCAAAAAGTATGTGTCTTTTTACATATTTATAATATAAGTGTATTATTATGTAAAATTGTTAATTTTTGTGTCGATCTACGAAGAACATTCTAATTCTATCTTGTCTTGAAGTAGTGGTTCGTTTGGGCCTAGATTTTTATTTTAATTTTATTAATAATAGGATCCCAAGCTGATGGTAGCACCAAACCTTCTCTCCTCGCGAATCATCCTTGGGATGAATCGGGGTTCTTTTGCGGGGATCTGTAGTCTATCAAACCGGATAAAATGGTTTCAGCGATTTAGAGTGTTGAGTACACTCTAAATCGTATACTGCAGACATACTGCAGACTTATTTAATCTAGGATGTTTTAAGTCAGTTATATGTTCCTTAACGCGATTAATTTTAACTTTCAAACCGATTGGCTTGGTGGATAGTGCACCTGTCTCAGAGGATGTGGGTTTGATGCCGGTTCTTCTCTGGTCAGGTCTAGTTTAATTAACCGTTGGTAGGTTTTTTGACGTTCCATAAGAAATGAAATTAAGCCTACTTCTTCTTCTTCTTTGATTAATGGCCTCTCTTAAAAGAATTCTGCCAATGTCATGTCAAATTAAGCCTGTGTTCGATAAATAAATAAATTCTATCTAATCTCACATGTCTAGTGTGTCATAATGTCATAATGTGAACCAAACAAATAATAATTTACAAAGTAATTTATAAATCTTAAGAAATATCGATCTAGTTTAGCTTATGTAGGTCACACTGCTGGGCAAAGGTTCTACTCTGTACATTATATAATAATACCCTGCATATCCCACTACGCGATCCCGCTGCGGATTGGCGGACATCACATATCTTCTAAATAATATTTTTGGTTATTTCGTAAAGACATAGGTTTCCTCACGACGTAGTCCTTCCCCGCTGAACTCGTTATAAATTAGAACTTAAAATTAAAAATGTCATTGTCACTGGTGCCGGCACCAGGTATGCACTTAGGTTGCTATATATAAACTATACTGTATTGAAAAAAAAAGCAAGCGCTCGGACAACAAGTTATCATGACAGTCAGTTTAAAAAAGTAAGTATGCATTTCAATAAACAATAAATAGATAAGAATCAACGTAAATAAATATTTTGTACTAGCTGCTGCGTACGACTACGTCTGCGTGGAATAGGTTGAAGACATAACATACAGACAGAAAGACAGATATACATAAAATAGGTATATAAATTATAGCCTATGTCTTATTATGATATATAAGGTATATTATTGTAAAGTTTCATCAAAATCCATTCAGTAGTATTTGCGTGAAAGAGTAACAAACATCTATCCAGACATACAAACTCGCATTTATAATATTATTAGTCAGGATTAAGTAAGGATTTTGTATAACTGATGTTACGCTTTCAGTCCTTAGACTATTAGAGCTTCATCAAACGCAGAACCGGTGGGCTAGCCAGAACCCACGGGTTTGTGGCCCTCTTCAGTGGGTTGGGCCGCGCATAATGTACTTATGCTCATAAATACTGTTACAGTTTGGGAGTTATTGACGCCTTAAATGTCAACAACCTGAGATGACAGTTAAGAAGAAGGAATTTATTTCATTAACAACAACATTAACACAGAAAATTCTATCAAAAAGACGAATGCTATGGATGACGATGAATCACCTGTAGGTGAGCGATATCAAGATGGACACAGTGCACGTTTTAAGTTTCATTATAGTAATGATTTAAGGCGCTGTATGCAGTAAAAATACGTTTTTCAAAAGACTTTTAACAAAATCTATACATTTTATAGCAGCAAAAAAAAAATGTTAATCTTGATCTTACATTCTAATTGAAAATTGTTTTTAAAACATATTCTCGATATATTTTCTCGATAGAAAAAAATCATGAAACTACCTCTAAAAGAGAAATTCAAATCCAAAAATGAACGTAATACATCAACAAATCTTAATGAAATTAATATCAGTGGTATAGAATATTTTAATAACAAGGATTGTTATCTTAATTTGTTGATTGAAGTAAGATATTTATAAATATTAATTTAATTCATTTAAATTAATTCGAACGCGACGCCCAAAACACAGCGCCACCGCGGCGTTGTTTCGGTTCTCCTCCATTTCCATACGTTGAACAGAGAGCGCTGAGGCGCTTTGCTAGATGGACCTATGCCGCTCGTCTTCCGCTCAACGTTACAAAATATATTCCGTATTTATTTATTACTGAGAGTTATAATTTTATTAGATCTTTCGGATATAAGGAATTTTATCGATAATTTTTTATAATATCATTTCATTGAGGAATTTATATAACGTAGTAAGTCTTTAACATTTAAAGGATAAATTAAAGATATACAGCGTGTCGTTACCATCGCGACAATAAATGAACACACGTCTAACGCTACTTGCCAATAATCATAAAAAATACTATGGTTAAAAAAATCCATAATTAAAAAAAAATTTCAAACAAACTAATTAAGTAAAAAAGAAACAAAATTTGTAAAATCCTATACAACTCGCGCCACAGCGTCGTATTACAAGCCTTTCCTTCTAACAGTATGTTTTGTCTCTTTTAAATTCATTCAACCCATTCTTATGCTTTTTACAAATGAACTTTACGTTACAGTTTTATAGGTAAGGATGTTCTAAAATTCTTTGTTTTGGAAAATTTAATAACTCTGTAAATATTGATGTTTAAAGAAATGTTTAATACAATTTTAAAAAATTATCCCCTATATGCGTGTTCATTTATTGTCGCGATTGTAAAGACACGCTGTATAGTTTAAGAAAATAAATAATAAAAAGTCGTATTCGTAATTTCTGCCGTGGAGACCATTTGCTTAAAAATTTTATGAGCTATTACTTTAAATCAAAATAAATAATTATTCGATTATTTATTGTTTTGTTTGTAAGAAATGTCATTTGCCTTTATTAATTTATTTGACCTTAAGATGTATCTTTAATCAATTCTAATCCCTTTCCTGATAATTTAAAATAATTAATAGGAAGATGTTCTAAAATTGTTGATTGCTTTCTCATACTTTATATTTGTTTGTTTATTACTATTCCTATAATAATATAAAAGTAAATTACAATCATGGTCTATAAGAGATATTATTGGGATGATCTTGTACATTTTCTAAAGCCTTCCATGATACTAACTATCGATAATATCCTACGGCCCACCACTAGTAGGTAATGAACATTAATGAATGACTTGGTCACGCGACGCGCCGACGAAACTCGCGCGCTGCGCCCCGCTAGGCGGGGTTACCCCTCCTCCGCTCCCCTGCTTCACCACCGAAATAGTTAAAAATCCACTGCATACAGCGCCTTAAATGACGGGCTTTTCAGTCCGATCCCGATCCCGTAGCTCGTAACAATTTTAACGGAAAACGAGTAAAAAATAAAAACTTTAAAGTCTAGGATGTCAACTAATTATCCTAGTACAATTATTGTGTTTACTAAATTTTAATAAATTTAGTAAACACAACAGTTCTCTGAAACTTACTGTTCATTTAATTACCGAACGGAAAAAAAATTAAGAAACTAGATGAACTTATTATTTTTTCTACGAACTTTAAAGAAAGTAAAAATAAAAGTTATGACATGACAAACAAAATTTGTTGGAATGAATGCGGATTGAGTTTCAAATTACATGAATTTTCTATGGTTCGTGATAATGTTACATTTTAATAATGTCAAGTTAAAATTGCGATATATTAAATATTTTATAAAAATTTTACAATATACAAATAAGAATAAGTACATTGAAATATGAATATACAATTAATTTAATAATTCCTCCTTACATCCAGCATTACAATTTTTTGTTTTAAATTAAGTGAATAGATCGGTCATACCATCAGAAAAAATGTATAATGTTATAAGTATTTCTTATATGAGTTGCAGAGATTTAAGAAATATTCCCCAATATAGATCTATCATTACCATAAGGGCTATCCTGCAAGTAACCATAGAATTTATAGATTGTTATTCATATTTTGTTACCATTATCAATGTTTGTCACAATCAACTAAATGTTGTGTTTCATAATTATAACCATGCAGGTAATGTGATTTCCGTCTATAATACACTATACATGACAATAATAAATTTCTAAAGATCTTACGTAGAAATCTCCTCTTCGACAAACTCGCGGGTGACACCAAACGTGTCAGCGATATTATCGAGACTGAGGGATCGGTAAGCGCGTAACAACTGCACGTAGGCCTTTATACGCGCTTCGCGTACATAATGCTGGTAGTGAGGGCGAAACACAGGATCCACGCAGATTTGAGTCTCCACCTGTAATGGTAAACAAAAACAAATTGTAATGGTAAACAAAAACACACAAACAGCCAAAACGCGATATGATAAAGTTGAATGAAAAGCAACTAACTTCAACCTACGTCACGGTATTACAATGTAAACAATAACAACTTTTTGACCTATACTTTGACCTATAATTCCAAGTTATTTAATTAAACCATTATCAACTGCATTTAATGTCTTTTTCAGAAACAAAAAATTCAGAAACAAAGGCACAGGGGATTAAAGTTTCAGTTATTATTCTTTTGTAACAATAAAGAAGTATAACTTCTTACATGCGTACATAAGTACATACATTTTTTTAACATAAAATAAAATCCAAACAATGTAACAACAACTGATCCTCATCTGTAAAACATAACTACAACACAGGATGATGGAATGAAAGTGTTTTTAAGTTGCTACAAACTGTAATTCCTACACTTTAGCAAGGAAGAAGTTCCAAGATTACAAGTTATGGTACATTTGGGAACCCAAAATCTACAACTACATTTATTGTTAACCAACTATTTGTAATTGCTGCATAATCAAATAAGTTTCATAAATATGGTACTGGGTGAACACAGTAAAAGGAGCATACCCAGGCAAGGCTCTTTAAAAAGTCTGCATATCGACATTCATGGAGAGATTCTACAAGCTCCCTCAGCTCAGGGAACCTAGATCGCAGCGCTTGCACTGCTGCACCTTGTCTCCTCAAAGCTGCCTGAAGAGCATGTCTTTCAAGTGCCAAAGCACATGCTAGAACACAATACTGAATAATTGTACCTGAAAATTTATAAATTATCTTAATACATTTTGTACAATGAATATTTAATTTTGTTTCTTAAAATCTAAATATTGTCAATAATATATGCTTAATGTATCTTGATAGTTGTTTAGTACAACTTGGTAGATAAAAATCTATTATTACCTGTCAAGATTTACTAAACTTTTCATTGATTTGAACAGTTAAAACAAAATATAAAGTAACTGCCCTTTGCTTACCAAAATCAACCAACTCATAAGACTCGAATGTAGATACACAATCAATGAATAGTTCAGCTGCATGACTATAATCTCGCACTGCTAAGCAATAAATAGCCTCATAGGCCTTAAGTTTGTTCCTAGAGCGCCAATCACCACCTTTGTCTACCAGTTCATGAGCCTAAAAATTAAGAAATTAAAAGTTAAAATATAAAGCAAGAGTATATAAGGAATTGAGCTGCATACACAAAATACCTTATTGATTGCTTTTCCCATATCTTTTACATTACAACCATGAAAGTAAGCAATTCTAAACATAGCAAAAATGGCATCTAATCTTCTATTAGTAGTTAAAGTTGCATCTTCATATTTCGTTGTAGCTAATGATGTAGCAGCTTCTTTGTCTCCTATTGAGCACAGGTAATCCAATCTATAGGACATGAAATTTTTATGATAATTTAAGACAAAAAAAAATATTTATTCACTTCTCATTGTTACTCTTACCTATCTTGCCATACTGGAGTTTCGGAATCATCCTCTTGAAATTTAGCGAGCCTACTTTCATTCTCTTTTGCCATCTCATCATACAAATTTTGATCCAATGGCCAACCTAAATCTCCACACACTTCTTTATAATATGGTGCCATATTACCTGCTTTGATTCCTTGAAACAATGATTCTTTTAATTGCGGATTATCTTTAAACTGTGGCAAAGAAAGTTTAAATTTAATGCCTGCAAGAGCCATATATTCAGGAGTTTTGCCCTCTGCGGATAGCTCCATTTTTTTTATTGTTAATTAGAAATTAATGTCCAGTAATTTATAGATTAATAGTAAAAATTTTAAGTATAAAGAAAATTTTTCTAATATAAGACCAAAATGCCTTGGAGTAGGTTTTATTCTATTGTAGTAGTGCTGTCGAGTATTGAAACGGAATATTGTCAAAAAAGTACATTATCATTGACATGACGGAAATCAATCGACAATCCAGTGCTGCCAGACTTTTCTACGACTAACAAGGCAAGATGATACTATATAAAGTAAATAAATAACACTCGGCCTAAAATTTAAATTAATTAATAAAGCTAGATACGATGCGGCCATTCAGATAAATTCAAATGATTCTCCTTTCTAGTATTAGTTTCATTTCCTATGCAGAAGATACTCACATACTTGGCGAAGGGGACAGCTTTAAGAGCTCCAGTCTTCTCGCTCGCCTTGGGGAAGCACGCTTCGTAAGCAAAGTCTTCGTCTTTGAGTCGGGATCGGGAGACTCCTGCTCAGTGCATACTGACCTGCTTCTTTGGACCATGAAATTTTTGCAGGAGGAGTAAGGAGAGGATTTCCATCCAAGAAGATAATCCTCTTCTGAACTGATGAACAAAGGTATTGCCCGAACAGGATCTGTCGCTTGGGACTGCCCTGCGGGGCACTCAGAGAGCGTGTGTAGGGTGGATTCACAATCCACACCGCATTGCATTGCATCGTTGGGTTGCATCCAATCCTATTCAGCAATCAAAACCAACCACTAGAGAGTATCTGTGACCGGTGAGTTCTTGTGTCAGCTGACGGATGACGTACGTATATCCCTTCGCACTTAGTCAGGTTTAGAAGTTCGGCAAAAACGCACTGGCTACTAGATGGGGCGAGTTCCTCCAACCTCCAGCATTCCTGCTTCCACACCTCTTCCACATCCAGAGCCTCCCAGGTGGAGTAAAGTTAAACCTACGCATCCATCTCCGCCGGGATGTTTAGTGGAGTAAACTAAGCTAGGATAGTGTCTGTCTCAAATATTATTTTACTACATCCTCGTGTGATCCTTTGTTGCACACTTTATGTCTTCCCTGCATTATAGCTCTGCAGCGTTGGACGTTCGGTAGTCGATGAGACCATACCGGTACACCACAGAGAACCATCGTTCGTATGACCCCCGACACTACTCTGGAGCCCCTAAGAATAGCCAGAAGTTTCTGCATAGCTGCCTCTACCTTCTTAATTCGATGGGCCAGGGCGTTGAAGTGTTCTGTACAAATGGTCCTAGCACTGAACCTTGTCTAACACCATAATTCTCCAAATATATCTATGACTGGAGTGGAGAATCTTTTGTATTTTTAGAGCAAAACTTTTAAAACTGTTCTTTGAGCTCGCTCTAGGTCAATCTAGGCAGATATACTAGAACCATCCCAAGAATCATTATAGTATGTGATTTTTGATTCACACTGCGCGTTGTACACTAATAAACATGTCTAAATGTCTGCAACATCACGTAGGCGGTACGTTATGCGAGTCAGTTTACGTACACCTCTAGCTATTCCTGTTATATGCCTTTTAAAGGATAGTTGGACATCAATTCGTACACCAAGGTATCTAATAATGCGTATAATTAGCGCGACAATTTTGTATACAATCAAATATACTACAAGTTTTGTTTAAACACTTGAAAAGAACAACATTTTCGCTGCAATGTCCTTATATTGCCTTAATTGAATGCCATGAATGAACTTAATTCTTTGCGCAATTTATTTTTCATAATTTTTGTAACATTATTTTATCAGGGAGTTTTAGGGGTTTTTGACTAAATCTTTACTTTAGCGACAAATATTTTGACGAGCGTTGGTAACACTGCTGATAGGATAGCAAAATGCCAGAACAGAAAAAAAAACAATAAAAGTAATATTAAAAGTAAATGTTTAATGTCATAATAAAAACTAATTTTGTGTGTGAATAAAATGTAATGTTTGTGGAATTTTACTCTTGTTTTTCTATTTATATAATTATTAATTGACAATGAACATGGACAAGCTTGTTACGCCCAATCAGTCCATAAAAATAGTACCTTCACTAGAGGAATCATTACAAAATATGGGATTGAATGTAAAACTAGACGGAAATACAACTTCATGGTTCAAGCAATTGCAAATTACTTGGAAAACGTGGAAAAAAAGTCCTACTGTTGTGAATCACCTCGAGTTATTTTTCCAGACACACACTGATTCATATAGAATAGCACTGATTTTTATAATCAGATGCAAAGAGTTTAAAGACTGCAAGCCAAAAACACTTCCATATTTTATAATAGAAACCTTACATAAGTGGTCATGTGAGAGTGGCAAAATCCCTGGAGATTCCTTAAAGCTTCCAGCTTTTCGTATTGCAACAGAACAAAGAAACCAACATTTCTTGAGTATGGTTGTCAAAACATACCAAATTAATACTATAAAGGAAATAATTTTACCCCTTGTCAATGATATGATAAAAAATGACAACTGTAAACAAGCTACACAAGTAGTTATTGCCATGGAGCTATTTGAAGACATATCTGTTGAAAATCTTCTATTTCCACTGATACTACAAGACAAAAATAACATGATTGATGAGTATTTATCAGAATGTCCAAGCCAGGTCGGTCCTTGGCTACAATTTTTAGACAAAATGCTAAATAAGAATTTTAACATACGCGAATATGCACAAAAATTTATAGATGAATATAGAATAACCCATGTGAAATATGATAAAATACATTATAAGCCTTTGGGAAAATTAGTTGCACGTTTATGTAACAAATTTAACATTCCAATTGAAACATGTAAGAATCTTAGTAAAAACCGTACAATAGGAGGATTAAGGTATCTAATATATCAAAAATATGTTGATCACAATGTAAGCTCTACAGTGTGGGATGACCTAGTTAAGGACTCATTAAAACAAAATTCTGATTCAGCTAAGGAATTTATTTATATGTTACTAGAATATGACAGAAAAGAAGCTGCAAAATGGGTAGAGTACCTTAAGTTACCAGAAAATCTGTTACCTCAAACATTACAAGCAATGTCTTCAAATGAAAATAATTCTTCAGAGAGTGAGAACTGGGAAGCAGAAGATACGCCTGGGGTGTATTATGAAATCTCTTTACCTCCAGATAGAATAGTGATAATAGACACAGTTGAAAAATTTTATGACTTGACTAATATGGATTTCACATATTGTAATCTAGTGAGCATTGATTGTGAGTGGAAGCCATCTTTTGGTGCAACACAATCACATGTCGCTTTAATTCAAATTGCCACAAATAATTATGTGTATTTAATTGACACATTAATACTAAATAAACAGCAATATTCTCCTTTATGGAACTCATTAAATAAATGTCTTCTAGACAATGCTGAAATTATAAAATTAGGATTTGGTCTAGAGCAAGATTTGAGGGAAATGAAAAGTTCCATAGTTGGTTTGAGTAATATAAAAATAAAAGGTGAAGGATTACTAGACTTATCAATATTATGGAAAAATCTTATTAATTTGGGGCTATCTTTACAAAGTAGTAGCACTTGTGAGGGTAATAGTCTTAGTTCTCTGGTTCAAATATGTTTTGGGCTACCATTAAAAAAATCTGAACAATGTTCAAACTGGGAAATAAGACCATTGCGATCCACACAAATTCAATATGCAGCTCTTGATGCACATGTCCTTGTACAACTATATTACTTTCTTCAAAAGCAATGCCTTGAACAGGGAATCAATTTTGAAGAGATATGCAATGACATAATGTTAGATATGAGAAAAAAGGGTACTAGAAAACTTAAAGCTGTGGATCGATTACTGGATTCTACTTCTAATTCTCAAATGAAAACAGTAAATGATATAAATTTCTTTGTGGAATCCAAGTTAATAAACTTAATACCATATTTGAGATACTTTGGTATTAACACTAGACTTATGCCAACAACAATGTTATGGTGTGATATAATTAACTTGGCCATATCAGAGGACCGCTCTATTTTATTAGCAAAGCTCAAATGTACACCAACAAATAAATATCCACAAAGCTCCATATTAGAAGTAAAAAGGGATACTACCCAGGAGCAGTTGATAAAAATTTTAAATAATTTTAACATAAAAATCAATAAGGTTGACTTACTAGTTCGTTGCATAAATTGTAATGATATAGATATAAAAAAGTTGACGACACCAGAAGTGGTTGAATTATGCAAAAAATATCAGTATTCTGGGAGTATGATATGCAATAAAAGCAATTACATTAATAATGTTAATCATGAGGATTCTTATTATGATAATTTTCTTTCGGAGTCTGATGATGAAGATATAGTTTATGGACCAGTTCAATATCAACCAGAAAATGTATGTGTAACAGGTAAAGGGGTTCCCATTGAAATAAAGAATTTTGATAAATTGGTTAAATTGCCACAATCAGCGATTGTTTGTGAATCATGTGGTAGATTGTTTTGGGACGGAGATGATTTGTTTAAATCAGTAAAGGACACTTTATCACTTATTTTTAACTCTTAAAATATAAGATTAATAGCTTTATTATATTAAACGAACGGTACAAAATATCAGGTAGCAATAAAATAATTTACAAAAGTATTTGAACTAGCTATGCTAATTGTAGTAACTTGTGTAAATGAAAATATTTTCGTAGTGTTATTTTTTCTTATATATGCATTAAGTTTTGCTTGGATGTGAGGCAATAATAACTAATATAAAACTTTTCCTTATTTTGACAGTTATTATAAGATACAAAGGTGAGTTAACAGGACATTGAGTAGAATTTTACTCATGGTGCACACTTTTCTTGATTAAAAATTTGTTTTGTATGTCTAATGAAACTTTTATTATGCTAATCGCAATAAGTGTAAGTTATTATTTATAATTGTTTTAATTTCTTTTATATTGTTTAATTAAACTATGATGTTAGGTTATTAAAATGATCCTTTTTATTATACATATAACCTGTGCATATGTTTTTACATATAGGTTTTTGTGATTTTCATAATATACAAATGTACTTGATCTTGATGTATTTGATCTGGTTGTATCGCAAAAATTAAAAAAAAAATATTATGTAAAAAAATCTTTTATGAATTAAATTCGTAACAATATTTGGATTTTGTTTGGAGAACCTGTGCTTAATTCCACCAGCTATGATTTGCAATTAAAAAGACACATAGGAAAGTGTTGCAACAACATAAATAGCTTATTAATAAAACATACCATTCACATAAAGCAATAGGGGTAGACCTTTAACATGAACTTTTTTTATCAAAGTAAATGTAGACATTTGGTTTAGAAAATTTATGTATTTATTAAATCCATTATTTAGAAATATATGTAATAATTATGCACAATAATAAAAAAAATACTTTTATTTTAAAAGTAGTCATGATTTTGTTACTAAAATATAGTAACAAAATCATGACTATCTTTAAAATGCTTCAGTTCTTCTTCACTTATGTCTTTATTTCCTTGAATATCCAATTTTTCTAGAAAAATATTTGGAAATCCTTTTAATGTATGCAATTTGTTGTTTCTCAATATTAAAATCTGAAAACGAGAATAAAAAAAACTCATATTCATTAACTCTATCATAATAAAATTGTTATGAAATGAAAGCATAAACTTATATACCTTACAATGTTGAAGAAAAATTAAAGATGGTAATATGTTCGAACACAAGTTTTGATTTGACAAGTCAACAACTTCACAGAAACTGTAATACTGTAAATGGGGCAGGATTGTTATTTTTTCTGAAAATGTTGGTTTAAAGACAAGATCTTTAGAAGCATAATCTAAGGGCAATTGCTCTTCAATACTCCACTTCGTTAGCAAATCATTATAGTATCCAGCCCTTTGTTGGTCCAATTTTTTTAACCTTTGCAAGTTTTGTATTGTTTCTTGATAATATAATTTGGAATCAATGCAATGTAGAAATATAGTAGTAGTGAGAAGAGTCCCTGTAAAAAGTATAAAACTCGTATTAAAGGAATAAGTAACACAAAAATATACTACTAGAAGTCGAGGCTAAGCAGGACTTTTTTTAAGTGGAAAAATCCTTTATGCATTCCCCGCCGCCGGGTTTAGGGGGATGGAAGGAGTACATTGAAAATCCTACAGAAGGGATACCCACTAAGAAAACCCACGGTACACCTGTCTCTGTCACATCTTCGTGTTACCGTGTCGCCCACCGATGCGAAGATCTTCCACGACCCCGACGCGACTATAAACTTCTCAGTTCTAGTCTCTCGGGCGCTAATAGGCGTCCCTTTGTCTCACCGCCGACCTCCTACTGTGACGATAACACCAAGGCAATACTGTCCACCATAGCGTGAACCACGGCTGACAGCGAGAAGTCGCGCCCCAATATAAAGCTCAGCTCACAGTCATGCTCTAGGCTGGGCACTCCTGCGTGCGTTGGGTAGTCTTCTCGGTACGTACGTCGTTTTATTTATCTTACCCGAACTCGAACTGGGTTTATCTTTTAAAGATATCCTGTGTCCTGTGGAGAACTCGGTACTTCGATCGGATTTGGTACAAAGCACTTCTTCCCAAGATATCTTATTGTGCAATGGGATAACCAGTTAAAATCCTTCATCGCGTCACCTTTTTGAAGGGCACTCTCTTTGTTGCCACAGACTCGATTGGAATTTTTGAGGTTGACATATCAAGCCAAGCTCAATTTTGCAGTCACGTAAAAACAGTCAAGTTGACCTCTAAAAAGCTTGTTATCCTTCATAGAGAAAGACAATATTTTCTGGCGGGCCATCGCTTGCAGCTATATAAAGGGCAAGTTTGATACCAATACTGATACCTGGCTTTGTGCCACAAACAAAAGTAGAATTAGTTGTCACCAACTGTATTTCCAGACCGATAGGACTTAAGGATCTTCAAGAAGAGAGCATATTCATAACTTATAGACTGGCAAAGTAGTTGTAATTCCCAGGTCTTTGCCTCTAGGGAGCTAGTAGTCAAAGCCAAACCATCGGGTCTCTCGCCATTGGAACGGAAAATGCCACATCAAGGCTCTAATATTGTAGGAACATTGATGGAAGCAAGAACCCTACACAAATAATGTTCTAAGAACCGTGGTGGTAAAAGCAGAACGAACGAACCTGAAAGTCCCTTCGTCCAATTGTCAAGTAATGTGCCCAAGTTACTTGGGTTTTTGAGGATAAAGCGTGAGGTTAATAAATAGTTTCTTTAGATGGATACACCTGGAAAACGGGCACCCTCTAATTCTTATCTGATGATTTTAATATGGCTTTCTACATACCAAAGGCAAAAAAAAACATTCCACTGTTCTTGTTGGTTACAACTTTATTAAAAACTATTATTATTTTGAATTGTTGGGATCCTACTACTTATTTTTTTTAGGTTTTCTATGGAATAGAAATGAGTATTTCTGGTAACCAAATTTAAGGATTTTTTGTTTAGCACATTTTGATATAAAGGAGAAATAAATTTTACAAAAAGCGGGTGCCGAAACAAAATAATAGGGGCTGTGCCTAATAAGGAATAATGTATCCTATAAAATTGTAGTATTATGAGGAAGTCTTAGTTTTCAATATAAAATATTCAGACTTACATTTGTTATCTGGTTCCAAAACAAGCAATTGACGGCATGCTTTTAGTTGTTCATTTAACTCTTCAATTATAGGATGGGAATAGTTATTTTGAAAGCATATGTCACTTTTACCAATATATGTCATATGTTTATATTTAAAACAACTAATGATTTCATTCTTTTCATTCCCATTATGTTCCACCTAATAAATTAACATAAGAAAAAGGTTTGCTTTAAAACTGTGATAACTTTTAATGGTCTATACCAGTCATAAGGTGGTTACGAGCTCAGTTTGAGCGCCCATCGCAAGAATTTTACTCAATTTATTCCAAACGCGCCAAAAGAAGCATAACTTAAAAAGGAAACAATAAAAATTACAAATTTTTAACAAACAATATATTTTGGTTGTATAAATTAGCAAAGTAAAACAAAATCTGTTTTCTATAATAAGTAGACATAAAATTTCCTTTGACACATTTGAATCAAATTCAATATTAAAGCTTCCAATAGTCATAACTATGATACTTAAAAAACTTACCTTTATATTCATATCATCATTTATGCTTACATTGTGCCCAAGTATCCATAAAGTGTCATGATTATTCCCACTTAAAGATATCCAATCCCCGCTTATAACATTTTCATTCACAATTACTCGAGATTTTGATGTGACGTAATCGTAAGAAACATGTTTGCTAAATGCAATTGTGGTTTTAAATTGTGTTACAGTACATAATACAAGATTTACAGTTGATTTAAATGCACCTGAAAATTAAGGAAACTGACAATTTTAATGTCACCTCGTTGCAGAAACCTTTTCATGATAGAGACTATATGATTACAAATAACCAAAGATTAGGCTAAATAGCCTAATGCCATTATTAAGACATTACACATAATAATTCATTTATAAATAAATATAACAACCAACCTAATAACCAACGTTGATAGAACCATGCACTTGTATCATCAGGATCAGTAAAAGCTGCATTTTGAACCATTTTTAATTCATGTTTATGATATATATCTTGTATGGGACGTCCTCCTAAAATAATAATAAAAGGTGCCCAAAATTAATATTAGCAAAATCAAGTTTATAAAACAAATAATTAGTATTACCTTCGATGTCTGGATACAACTGCAAAAGCATTTTACTTCTATAATGCCATGCAGAATAATTTGAAAAATTGTCAAGTAATTTCTCTGTGGTATAGTCAAATTCATCCTGCAATGAAGATTTGCACTGACTTACAACAAATTCTACGATAGTCCCAGGTATGAACTAGAACAGAAAAGTAAAGTAAATAGCATTTATTAAGTTTCCTTACAATAAAATAATTAATGCATTCAACTTACAATTTCGTTCATCTAATTTAAGATATGTGTTACATAAGTAAAGTTCCTTGTTCCAGTCTGGATTTGGTCTTGTAGTTAGTACCCATTCCCTTTGGTGCCACGCACAGTATGATTTAGGGTTAATTTTTAAACAATACTCAGTCATGCTCAATTCATCATCAAATACTTTTGTCAGGTCGTCTTCAGTGTTAATATTTCTGAAAATACACTATTTAATGGAATAACTTAAAAAACATGGTTGATTATTTATTTGCATTCCACAATGTAGCTTAGGTGGGCTTAGATTGTCAAAACTTAAAATTAATAATCATCATGGAATTGTCAAGACTCAAATTTATTTAATGTTAATTTTATTTGAGTCTTAACAATTCCATGATGATTCAAATTTAATTAAAAATACAAATACATTTTTCATATTACATTTTTTTTTTCAATTCAATTGCAATTCAGTGCAATTTCCATAAAACTTAATATTAATTTAATTGCATTTATAAATATAATTTATAAGTTCCTGGAGGACCGAGCTAGGCTCGGTTTTTTTTGGTAGGTGCATTCGGCTAATTCCGTAAATCGGGCTATTCTGATAATCACAGCAAAATTATTGCCGTATTTCATAATAAAAATTGTGATTATCTGAATAGCCCGATTTACGGAATTAGCCGAATGCACCTTAAATCATGTATTTTGGAAATAAAAAAAAATAAAAATAAAGAAAATAATCTGGTATAATATCTAAAAATGAATCCTAGCTAGATCGATTTTTCGCCCCCGAATCTACGCACATACTAAATTTCATAAAAATCGCTGGAGCCGTTTCCGAGATTCCGATTATATATATTGTTAACGCCGGTAGTTGGATGTCGAAAAAATACGTCACAGCCCAAAGTCCATCACACCACCTCGACTACGTCTTGTACGCCATCTTAGCTTTCGGCCATTCTCTGTTAGCTACCACCGCTGTAACACCTACCTTTAAGTTGTAAATTATACGCTACATTCAATTTCGCTATTTATTTTCAAATCCTTAAACTTCAACCGAGGGAATCCATCACGCAAGGGCCCTCACATTGATCCTTCGTAGCCAAATTTGAATACAGCGAGCTTAGAAGATTTATAATTAACGCGCATTTAAAGTCAGACTGGAAATAACCACGTGGCGAGGACACATTGAAGATATATTGAAGCCTGAAGCCTATAGTCGGAGTTGCTACCATATTTCAAGCTTGGGACAAGGGAAGGTGCTGGGCCGAATTGATATAAAGCGCAAGTGTGATTTGGTTCATGCGAGTTACCCGTTTGATTGTAATCAGCTGAGTAAGAATACCGTTGCTAGTAATTACCAGCCCACGCGTACACATTTCAAACGTAAGTACTAAACCTTTCTTTGGTTACCAAAATGGGGTTATCCGATAATTTAGAAAGCGCAGGTAGATCACGCGATAAATCTCCATACAAAGATGATGCCAATTCTTCTATCATTCGCGATTGCATAAGAAAACGTGGCATCATAAAAGGTAGGCTAACTAAGTTCTCAAATTATTTGAATTCTTTTAGTTGCGAGGACGACTTAGTTGGTCAACAACGAGTCGACTTAAAGTTGCGTATACAAGGCACAACAAATTTACTTTCCGAATTTAATATTATTCAAACAAAACGAGAAGAGTGTGTACCTGATTCTGATTTAGATGAACAGTTAACGCAAAGAGAATTGTTCGAGGATTTTTACTATAGCATGTTAGCGAAGGCAGAATGTTTATATAGTAAGAGTGAAGTCGTTAGTCATACTTGCGATTCGAAACAAGCAAACGCTTCAATTAAATTGCCTACGATAACTATGCCCACCTTCGACGGTTCTTATGAGCACTGGCTTGAGTTCCGTGACACCTTTGTATCATTAGTTCACAGTTCTAAAGAATTAAGTAGTATACAGAAATACCATTATTTAATATCGTCGTTAAAAGGGAGCGCATCATTGGTTATAAATTCATTACAATTATGTAGTCAAAATTATGAAGTAGCTTGGGATCTACTATTAAACCTAGTTCTGGGGTCTCTTTGAACGACCTACAAATGATAGGACCACCCATTCAGCGTGATTTGCTTTCGATTTTATTGCGTTTTCGGCAACATCGATACATAGCATGCGCAGATGTCGAGAAAATGTACCGTCAGTGCTTAGTTGACGAAAACCAACGCGATTTTCAACTAATACTGTGGCGCAACGATCCATCAGAACCATTAGGCGTTTATCGATTAAATACGGTCACTTACGGAACATCATCCGCGCCGTTTCTTAGTTGCAGATGTCTTAAGGAGCTTGCATCGTTAAGTACTGATCCCGAAGTCACGCGAATAATTAACGAGGATTTTTACGTCGATGACATGATCACAGGTCATGATGATAAGGAAACATTATTAAAAAATTGCGGATTAGTTGCTAAACTACTCCAGTCGGGTTGTTTTCCTTTACGCAAGTGGCTTTATAACTTTGAATGTAACACAACAGAAGTCTTAGGCTTAAATACAAATCAATATACAAAAAAATTAACTTTAGGTGAAAATGTCAATGGGAAAACATTAGGTTTACGTTGGCATAATTTAAGTGATGAATTTTATTTCGATTCGCAATTTAAATATACAGCACAAAGGATTACAAAACGCTTTATTATGTCTGTTATATCGCAGATTTTTGATCCGTTGGGATTACTCAGTCCTTTCATTATTACCGCTAAAACATTGCTTCAAAGGTTATGGTTGTCGAAATCGGATTGGGATGATGAGGTACCAAGCAATATCGCGCAGATTTGGTATCAATTCGCTAGCGAGCTACCCCCGCTCAACTTACTGAGAATACCACGGCATGTTGTAGGCACGAATCCTAACTATATAGAAATGCATATATTTACAGATGCGTCAGAAGCGGCATATGGTGCTTGTATTTATGTGCGCACGCTTAACGCTGATTCCACGGTCTCGAACTGCTTGCTCTGTTCGAAAAGTAAGGTCGCTCCACTAAAACCAGTGAGTATACCAAGACTCGAACTGTGTGGAGCGTTACTAGGAGCTAGGCTTTTCGACAAGGTGCGTGACTCACTTAAAATTCCATTTCGCAATATCGTGTTCTGGTGTGACTCAACAATAGTTTTAGGTTGGTTACGTATGGCTCCACACCTATTGAAAACATTTGTTCAAAACAGGGTGGCGGAGATCCATGAATTAACAAATGCGCACCCGTGGCGTCACGTAAGCAGTGAAGAAAATCCTGCCGATTTAGTTTCGCGTGGAGTTCGCCCTAAAGAACTTTCTTCAACTTTCTGGTTACATGGCCCGTCTTTTCTTCACGACTATAATTTTAATATTAATAAGTTACATTCAATTTCTCACGCACGAATACCAGACGAGTCAAATTTACCGGAAATTAAATCAAAGGCAATAATTTCTTTGTCTACTAAAACAACGCTTGTGCTATCTCTATTTCCTTTCGATAGGTTTTCTCAATACCATCGTATGAGACGGGCAGGAACTTACGTACTGCGCTTTGTTTTTAATACGCGCAATAGGAATAAACGTACGTGCGGGCCTCTGTCTGTCGACGAAATAAAATATTCCGAGTTAATGCTTATAAGATTTATGCAATTAGAATCATTTGGGGAACAATACAATTTAATTATAAATAATATACAGATTAAAAATAGACAAACTATCAAACTTAAATTTATTTATGGATAACAATAAGGTACTACGAGTTGGTGGACGTTTAAATAATTCGACTGATTTCGCATATAATAAAAGGCATCCTATTTTAATCTCTTCCAAACATTGGTTTTCAGTGCTTTTGTTTCGGTACGAGCATAGACGGTTGCAGCACGCGGGACCGCAGGCGCTTTTGTATAGCTTGCGCGAAATGTACTGGCCGGTCGCAGGCAGGAACCTCGCCAGACAAGTGGTGCATAGCTGCGTCACCTGTCGAAGGTTACGAGCTAAAACGCTCAGTCCAATAATGGGCAATCTACCGCAGGAAAGGATCACGCCTAGTTTTCCGTTTTTACGATGTGGTGTCGATTACGATGGGCCAGTGCTCACTTTGAACCGCAAAGGTAGAGAGGCTCAAGGCTTATTAAAAGTTACGTTTGCTTATTTATCTGCTTTGTCACGCGCGCTGTTCATCTAGAACTAGTCAGTGATCTCTCTACAGATGCATATTTACTAGCTCTTAAAAGATTTATATCCCGCCGCGGTAAACCTTCAGAGATATTTTCGGACAATGGCAAAAATTTCGTAGGGCTTATGAACGAATTTGCCAAATTTCTCTCTAATTGCTCTGAACATATAATTGAATACGCAACAAGCCAAAGCATTAATTTTAGATTTATTCCACCATATTCACCCCATTTTGGTGGCCTCTGGGAGGCCGGCATAAAATCGTGCAAACATCATTTATTACGTTCAGTGGGTAACGCGCATCTTACCTATGAAGAACTTAGCACATCACTCGCGCAAATAGAGGCAATCCTCAACTCACGTCCTCTTAGCCCAATGTCCGCAGATCCGCAAGACTATCAGCCGTTGAGTCCTGGTCACTTTCTTATCGGACGATTACTGACGGCGCCAGCGAGCTTAAATGTCACTGATATTCCTATGGAGAGGCTAGACCGTTACAAGAAGGTCGAAAAGGCTCGACAGTACTTCTGGTCACGATGGAGTAAGGAGTATATTTCCGAACTACAGTTAAGAACAAAATGGAAGCAGAATAAGAATGACCTCGAACCAAACACGCTGGTTCTCATAAAGGACGACAATTCTACGCCACTTAAATGGAATTTGGGTCGGATAATATCTACTGTTCCAGGTCGAGACGGGATTAGCCGTGTTGCAGACATTAGGACGGCTTCTGGAGTTATCCGAAGATCTTTAGCAAAGATCTGTCCACTTTTAGACGCTTCATCGTTGGAAGATGGAGCTTCCAAGGCCGGGAGCATGTTAACGCCGGTAGTTGGATGTCGAAAAAATACGTCACAGCCCAAAGTCCATCACACCACCTCGACTACGTCTTGTACGCCATCTTAGCTTTCGGCCATTCTCTGTTAGCTACCACCGCTGTAACACCTACCTTTAAGTTGTAAATTATACGCTACATTCAATTTCGCTATTTATTTTCAAATCCTTAAACTTCAACCGAGGGAATCCATCACGCAAGGGCCCTCACATATATATATATATATATATATACAAGAAATTATAAAGGATTAGATAAATTAGGTAATATAACATGATTTTCTAAACATAAAACATGATAAAGACAATATTTAAGTATTGTAGTGTTAGTCATTAAATATTTGTGTATCTACTATCTCTGTGTGTATGTACTCTTGTTTAATAATAGACTAACTAAAACTGATTCTTATTCTTTATTGCCTTAATTTTCTTTGGTATTTTATTGTATATTTTTACACACATAGTGTAAGGTCCTGATTAAAATAAGGCTAATGAGGAGCTTGGTAATGCTAATTTCTTTGATTATTTTTTTGGAAGTGTCATACTTCTGCAATTTGTCTGGTGAGTTAGATCACTAAAGTAGCAACGCATAAGGAATCCTATGTGTGTTGTAAACGTCAATTGGTGGTGGTTATCACTAAACATCCGGTGAAGCATTTGCCGGCTTGCCACCTTCTCACACAAAAAAATACTATCTTAGGTTCAATTACAAATATACATTACTTAATCTGTTGTAATATTTCTCTTCTAATATTCCATAAGGTGTAAATATCAGGATTAGACATCAATACTTTGCCTGTAAGCTCCAATAAGTCTTTATCAAATTCACATTGTTGCCTCTGAAAGTATAAGATACATGTAATGTCATATTTTTATAAAGTAAACTATAATCCATAGTAATTAACTAATAAAGTCTAGTCACTTATATGAGTACATTTAGCTAGGATTTTGTAATTTTTATTGTAGGTTCCTACTAATATAAGAAAACTATTTGTAAAATTTCAACCATCGAAAATTAATAGTTTTGTAGGTATTAATTGTAGAATTATTGTTTAAAAAGACAACATGGCTCAGTTTTCCATTGATGTCCGCCGAAATGGGGATTGATATTTTTTTACAGAAGGGTTACATTATTATAAGAACACACGCAAAGTTTCAACTTGCGAAAACGCGAAGTTTTTGAGAGAAAAAAACATATAAAACTTGTTATTATCACTAAGAAAGTGCGTCATTTTACTAATTTGACTTCAAAAAATACACTTTACTGCCAACATGACAAATATAGGAAGCAAGCAACATCATACTTGTATCGATTGTAAAACAATTTATTAATTTTTTTTTAAAAAAGTTAATGAGTCACAGATCTGACACAGAGCAATCCGACTTGGATAGATTAGTAGGTAGGGAGCTGCGCTCCCTTCTTAGCCTTCATGATTATTTTTTTTATTATCACCTAGAACGTCAGTGTTTAACAGTAGTTTTAGTATTTGTAAAAACTCTTGTAAAAATTCTTAATATGATGGATGATTGTTTGAGAAATGGCCTTACAATGGACTTGAATTCAGATCCGACTTTGTCAACCACAACATGCAGTGGGTTTGGTCTGTCCTACATTTAGTGATTTTAGAACCCGGAGGCGCGAAAGGTGGGCAGCCCCCTAAATTCCGTCGAATTTCCACCCCCCCCCCCCCCCCCTTCGGGGGTCCCAACCCGCTAGCTAAATGTAACTATTTAAGTGACCTTCCAATATAAATCAATCCTCACCTTTAGTTGTATTTTTTGCATTGCATTTTTAAAAACTTTTAGTTTTTCTTGCCTCTCCTTTTCTTTTCTTGCTTTCTCTTCTTCAGATGTGCGAACTTTTACTCTACCGTGCTGTAATTAATTATGAGTAAAGTTAAAATTAAAAATTACATTTATTTACATGTATAATTAATGTTACTAACCATTTTGTTCACCGTAGTCAATAAAGCCTTTATCTTTCAAGGAACTAAAATTTCTTGGGAATACTCATATATTATAGATACCCAATATATAATTTATCACTTCGCTTCGCACTATAAATTAATGTTATTAAAAGTTATAATTATAATAAATTCACCAGTTAGAATACATTTTATATAAATATACACATATTATGACACATTATAAGGTTTTTTTAACATAGAGTAACAGAGAGTAGTATTACGGCCTTTTCAGTTCAGTCTTTAGCATAGATAAGACATATATAAGTTACGATACGGTCCTTAGATTTAATTACATTTGATAATTGTATAGTTTGCTCATTTCATTTATTTCAATCATTCAAAAACAGATGACATTGTTTTAAATGCAAAACCATATTTAAGATTATATTAAAAACAAAATTTTCTTTTAAGTTAAAATAATATTGTATTAAGATAAATTTTATAAAAAAGTTTAAAATTTATGTGTGGTTCTTATTTTGGAGAAAATCGTATTTTATTAAATATTATTAATTTAAAATAAAACAACTATACAAAATGATGGAAGTATTTTTAAACAGAGTAACGGAACGTTACCGACATAACTGCGGCCGGCTAGAATACATTTGAAGACACGACTGGATGAAGGGGATATAATACAATTTGTAAATGTTGAGAAAAGGGGCATCAAAGCTTTGTTGCTTGTTGTTAAGATAAATCGTTTTTCTTTTTGATTATTTACTAACTATTTATATCAAATTATAGTAATTATTGACACCTACTCATATGGAGTGGAAAAATAAGATAAAAGTGTAAGAATATGTATTTATTGAAAAAAAAATGTATATAACTCCTTCATTTATTTCTTGATAATAAAGAAGTTTCATACTTAAATGAATAATATATGAATAATATATTATACATACGTAATAAAACAAAAAAAAATTACATGTGTGTCGGGTTAATCTGGAACTACAAAGTTTTCATAATAGTAACGATATTCCGGTTTCAAAATTTTTTTCTGTTCTTTAATATTAGCTTTCTGTTCTTCAGAAATTGTACCATATTTTCTTTGTACCCGTTCAACTAAAAAGTCTTCTACTTGTCCACTTTTTTTAATATATCCACTTTCCTAAAAGGCATGTTTTCATCATAACTTTCTTTGTATAAAGAGAATTCTTCTACCCTTATCCACTTAATACCGTCCCTGAAATTAACCCTTTGCTTGTTTTCGTCTTTTTTTTTTCTGTTTATCAAATTGAGTTGATTTTGCAACTAGTTCATTTTACGAAAATGATCCGTCATATCGATAACAATATTGTTTCTAGATACTTTGCATATAATCTTTCGATATTGCTCAGGCGTATATATTGCCTCATGCTTGCGCATGATCTTTTCGATGTGACGAAAATCTCTATCAGAGTCCAGATAAGAATGACCGACATCGGGAAATTTGTGGTCATGATTTTAAAATAACCCTTCACGATCATGTCTTGGTAGAAAAATCTTCTATTCTGTCCAGCACAGGAGTCCGACCATATAAATAAATGACTTTTTTTGCGACAAGATGGATCCACTTCAATAAATTTTAGTAGGGAGCTAGCATCTTCAAAAATACTTCTGTCGGTTACATCTTCTGTCCACAGCTTTTTGTTTGGTCTAGTTAGTAACATGGATGCCCATATAACATTAACAAAAAAACCGGCTTCAAACCGGAAACTAAAAAACATTATTAATACTAATAACATTTGAGGATTGCGCTCGATTTCTCTGAGATTTCATCATCAGATCTGGGTTACCTTATCATAGTACCACTCTTGGGATATCTCCATTCCAACAAAAAAAGAATAATCAAAATCGATTCATAAACGACGAAGTTATCCGAGAACACACATAAAAAATATATATACGGTCGAATTGAGGAACCTCCTCCTTTTTGAAGTCAGTTAATAAAACCTGGCGTAAATAGAATGACTTAGAAGTTGGTATTTTAGGAAGTGGCATGGTGTGTTGTAAGTCTACTGTGAGGTATAATAATCCATTGTCTTTTTTGGGTTTACTTCTATCTGTTGTAATGGCTTCAATCGCAGCGTGGTAATTCAAATGAAAAGCATGTATCAGCTTTTCATTTGAATTTCTAGCATCATAAGTTGCACATGGGGTATCCAAAAGAGAGATTAAACTCAGTAACGAAAACTTACATGTACTTTTCTTAATTTTATATTTTGCCCGTAATTTCAACTTCTCAAACATCGTTTAATAAAGTTCGTGCATTTTAGTGACATTTAAAAGTGGTGACAAATAACGTTTGTATATATTTTTGCTACGTGAGTAATGAGACTGTTCCGCCGGAAAGGTTGACATACGCAGTTTTTTGCGTACCTCTTCATCCGTTTTATGAGGACGATTATTGGGTCTGCCTCATCTATCTGGAAGTGGAACAGAAGCGCCACTGTTGATTTAGTGGATTATTATATCCACCTTCTTCCGCGATATTTGGTATAATCCACACAATCCTAATTAGCAAACCTTTGTTGTTATGCTTTGTTTTTTATAAAATATTAGTATGTCGCAGACTTATTTTTTTTTTGTACATAATACGAAACATGATACGAAATGGAAGAAAGAGACAAGTACATCACATAACACCTTCATCCAGAACAACGCAAAGCCCGCGCGTGTTTTCTGGCACTTACCTCATTCATCCGTGCAAGAAAGTAATATACTTATATAATTTTAAATTAAAAATATGCTAAGTGCGCATGCCTTTCTTTCATTGTGAATATTATTTTATGTTGGTACATAACCCCTTCATCACTTGCTATCTCTAAAACTAAGCTCAAACAGCGGTGTTTTAAGGTTTAATATAGTTTTTAAGAACATAACATTCGATGCAAAAAAACATTTTGTTTTAAAATGTAACGTAACCCCTTCATCCACTCATTTCTTCATTTATTTTATTCGGTCAATTTTCATTACTCATCATTTTATTTTCTTACATTAGGGTAAAACTAAAAACTGCAACGCAAATTTGCTTTCTTTTCTTCATTTTGAAAATTATAGATTCATGGATTCAATCGATTGGAGGTGATTTACTGATTTTGGATAGCCAATAAATTATTTAACGTATATAATTTACTAAAAGGCACTAGACTCGAAAACATTCATAACAAAGATTATAAAAAAATTAGCGAGTGGTAATGAAGAAAACGAAATGAAGCTCGCAAAACACATTACTTTATCCAAAAATAACATCCAGCAAGCGTGTATCCAATTACGGTTTTATGTTCAATGTTATTAAATATAAATTAAATAAATTTCATATACACTGTATAGAAAACTGTAATTGAATACAGCTCTCAACTATAAAAACAAAATTGTTAATTAGTATAGGTTATACAGGGTGGCTTTTCTAAAGGTGCCCAAATTCACAAAGGAGGTTCAGACTTGGTAGTATAAACATTTATTGTAATAAAAACAAAACTTTTTGACAATGCGGTAGTCATTCATAAATGCGTCGTATACTTTTGAAACGAACTTGTTTGCGTGTTATTTATGAATGATCACGCGTGAAAATAAATGAGTTGAACATAAGTTACACACTTTTTGACATAAATTCGAATTAATGTAATTAATTAATTAAGTCATTTTAAATATTTACCATTTTTATATAACATTATTTATGTCTAGAATTTAATAAAAAAAATGGATACACTTAGAAAAGTCTTTCGTCAGTCGTGTAATTAGGTAAAGTATCAAGAGATGGCGCTGTCTCACGAGGACACAACTTTATTCTCAGTCTATTGATGTACTCTTTGGAGTACATAATTTTTAAACTATTGTGTTATCTCTCTTCATTTGCTGTCAATAGGGATTCTGAAAAAATATCGATACATCGATATTTTTTATAAAATGTATCGATATTTTGATCCTATATATCGATATAAAATATTTAATTGCGAAATCGTATCATTAACGATATTATTTTCAAATTCGAACTGAGTTTGTACATTCAAATTTTTAATAGTTGACTTTCACTTTTTTTTTTGACAACAGGGCCTAAAAAGAATATATCGATATATCAGGATAATATATTTCACATATACGGACTCAGTGCTGAATTCGATTTTGAATAAATATCGTTTGTGATATGATTTCGATTTGAATATTTTAAATTGATATATCGGATCAAAATATATCTGCTAGAAATATCGACATGTCAAATAAAATATATCGATATATCAATATTTTTTCAGCATCCCTAGCTAAGCTCGCGAAACATGAACGAATAAGAAACTTAAATCCTTGTACTGTACGTGTATATGTAACGATTTCCACAGAGTACTTTATAAAAGTATAATGAACGTTTCCTAATGCTGTTAATCGGTTTAATAGCTCTTTCGTTCTTTCCACTTATCTACCTTTACTAGTCATTTCGGTATGAGTAGTATCGTACGAGTGCACGATTCGAAAGCGAGCGAGAGAGAGAGAGTCGATCGGTGACCGATGACCTAGTAAAATAAGTACCTATAGCGGAAAAGATCGGACGGATCACGATGTTTTTGACCGAACAAAACGGTTAAACTAAAACTATAGAGATTTAAGTTGTATTGGTATACAACCTAAATCTCTATAGTCATTACATTGGTATGTACCTAATAACGACTATTTTGGTTTAACAACGTAAAAAGGTGGCCGACTCGTGTCTAATGTCTATCTAATAAGTACAAGTGTTATGCTAAAAACAAGACAAATTTTGAGAATGTAAGATAGTTAAATTTAAATAGTTAAAATAAAGTGTAGTTTTTTTTATTATTTCCTTTTTTATTTGAGAAAGTGGCAAACGAACTCGTGGTTCACCTGATATTAAATGGTAAGCGCCACCCACGAACATTGCAATACCCGCAGGGTTGCAGAGGCGTTGCCAATGCATGCAATGCAGGCAAATTTTAATAATGTAGACCCCGGCCAAAGACTACTATTGTATACTGGAACCCCGGCTACCTCATTCACCAGACGAAACGCAGAAGTGTAGCACTTTTACTTCACATCCGTCTTCTGTGAGGTGGCGGTACTAACTCGGATGGACCTGATCACTCATGCAACAGCAGACACTGTTGCGTGGCCCTACAACTGTTAAAATTTTAATGATACTATCAGTGTTTAAAAAAGTAAATAGCACTAACGTTATAGCAATCTACAATATCGGAGCCCGGAATTCACTCAGAGATCTTTTTAAAGAGGTTAATATAGTGACTGTTACTTCTCAATACATTTATTGTAATATTTTGTATATACGTCATAATCTTAATTATTACCTAAAGAATAGTGACAGACATAAACACTAGAAATAAGGACAAACTTACTACGCCATTGTTTCGTCTATAAAAAGTAAATAGGTCATTCATGGGGCAAAGTGCGCACACTTTGCCTATGTATAATAAAATTTCACAGTCGATATTAAGTCTGCCGCTTGACCAATTTAAACGTAAAATTAGAAGTCAACTTATGGTTTAAGCATATTATAGCATTACGGAATATCTCGACGACGCCAATGTGTGGAGTTAATACTGTTGATACTCACGTAGGCTAGAATAAGACTATTATATCTGTATGTTATATTGTAAACTGATACTTTTAAAAAAGAGCAACTATTCAAGAGTTTCTTGCCGGTATCTTCTCAACAGAAACTTCTTTCCGAACCGGTGGTACCTTACGAACCTATATACATAAAATTTTTGATGTAAAATTTGATGATTCATAAGAGCGCGCAAGCGTCTATCAATTTGAATAAATATATTTTTGATTTTGATTTTATACTATAATCAGTACACATACCATTTCTTATAGATATAATAACCAAAACCGAAAACCGAACAGAGCTAACAGAACTAAATTAGAACAATGAATTAGTTCACTGTCCAAAAGGAACTAGTACAGAGCGCTCTTCCAAATGACCGAGCCGGCAAAATTAGACCGACTATTCGTAGACTATATCCTTTCCATCATTATTTTGTATGACAACTAGCGACCCGCACCGGCTTTGCACGGGTACAATGTATTATACAAATAAATCTTCCTCTTGAATGACTCTATCTAGTAAGAAAAAGCCGCATCAAGCTCCGTTCGTAGTTTTAAAGATCTAAGCATATATAGGGACAGACAAATAGCGGGATGACATGTTTTATACTATGTAGTGATGATTACATTTCTATCTCTTTACATTTCTTTAAATCTTTCGTGCCGATGACAAAAAAAATGAAACAATGGCATTTTTGAAATAATTTTATTTCGATGGGCATCAAATTAGAAAAAGAATTTAATGTCAATATTTTAAATGGTTTTTGTTAAAAGTTATATATTGAACTGGACCACAAAATTACAACTGAGACGTGTTATAATTTTAATTTTTTTCTGTGTAAAACGAGCAAATATTGTATAAATACAAGGAATTTGATTTACTGTTTATGTGGTATGCTGTAAGCCCATTTACGTATTTGATCGATTTGAGATGAAGAGGCTAATGCACTAAAACTACTCGATAAATAAGTTCACTCCACTATATCACTGCAACACCTGTTTATGAAAGATGAATAACTCAATTAACAAGGGGGATGACATGTTTTCAGGCCCCATCAGATGGAGATTTGATCTAACATTGGCTTAGACCGCAATCGTCACCTACAGAAATTAAATTAATGTAACACTTTAGTTTAAGAAAATTAAATAATATTTAACATAAATGAAACGTAATATTTTTGAAAATAGTCCATTTACGAAAACGTTCCATTTTTGAATATGTAAAGAGCAAAGTGGATTCTCACATAATACAACGTAATTAAATGACTATTTTTATTTTATTAATTTGGATCGTTTCATCGATGATTCTTTAATTGAGGTGGACAGACTTTTGACATTAAACACTACGCGGCATCGTTTGAGTTGACTGTGATATCCTCTTGTATATTCTTGTATTAACTGATGTTTTTGCTTTCAGTCCCAAGACTATTAAAGCTTCATCTGACGCAGAACCGGTGGGCTAGCCAGAACCCACGGGTTTGGGCCCTCCGCTGTGGGTAGGGCCACGCATGTGCTCATGCGTGCGTTTAACTATGGTGTGTCATCTAAGGGCCATCGAGGTCGTGGTTCGGACCGAAACCCCGATGGCCGTCGACTGTGCAATTAGCTAATCGGTGGCTGGGGGCGGTGAGAACCGCCCTGGAACGCGGGTGTACCTTGTGTACGCGTTGTGTTGGTCTCGCCGTGCTCGGAGGCGAGGGCGAACTAGTGTGTTTGTTGTTGCACTAACTGTGGGTGTAGTGTTGTCCGGCGGGACCCCCGGCAGTGGGTTCGGCGTGTCTAAGTCCCCTTCCTCGACCGGGTCGATTAGGACGTTTCGCGGGCGACGCATGTTGACGTTCGCGTTTTTGTCGGGTTGGTAATTTGCTGCGCTTACCACCAGAGGGTTGGGGTGATATCCTCGTGAGTCTTGTAGTGTTAGTTATGATGAAACATATACGTAAGATTTAATTCAGTATACTTGAGCAACCTGGATTCAAATGCCAAACCAGTGCCAGCACTCTTGAAATTATTAATTATAAATACTGAATTATCTCATACTCATTAACTGTGGTAGGACCACGCAACAGTGTTCATTGTTGCACGAATGGGAAGATTAGTACCACGAGCTCACAGAAGACCGGCGTAAAGTAGAAGGGTTACACTTCTGCGTTTCGTCTGGTCAGTGAGGTAGCCGGGGCCCACCTTATTAAAAGGTGGCAACACATCTGCAACCGGTGTTGCAAATGTCCGTCGACGCCGGTTATCACTTAACATCAGGTAAACCGCCCGTTTGCCACTTTTTCACATAAAAAAAAAATCTGCGGTGAATTGAAGGAAAACATCGTGAAGAAACCTGTACATTTTTTAAATAGTAACAAAAAAGTATGCGTGTACTTATGTTCGCATAAGAATTTATACTTCTTTAGGGTTGCAAAAGAAAAATAACTAAAAATTTTATCCACTTTGCCAGTACTCTTTGTTTGTGAAAAAGATATTAAATGCCATTGATATGGTTTATTTAAATAACTTGGGTTTATAGGTATTAATTCGTATTATTGGGAGACTTGCCACTCGCAAATGTTGATGTCTATGTCTATCTGGGACAAATGGTCCAACAAAGGAAATCCTATTTCGAGACGGAGTCAATCGACGAATCCAGCTCGGTTGGGTTGCGTTCGGGAAATTACGCAGCGTCTTTACGTCCAGAATACCACAGCCCTCAAAGACGAAAGTCTTTAATAATGAGCCTCACACAGAAGCTCGGGGTCGCACAGTGAGCTATGTTTATCATAACCCCAAGGGCGAGATCGAATCAGAAATGAGGAGATCCATAGACGAACTATAGTTACCGATAGTCAACATGCTGTAGTGGCAGTGGGTAAGGCACATAGCTGGGAGAACCCAGCGTCCATACGCTGGGGCAGAAAGGTTCTTGAGTTGAGACCACGTGGCAGCAAGCGTGGGAAGGCCTCCCAAAAGGTGGACGGATGACCTAACAAAGATAGCAGGGCCGAATTGGGCGCAGGCCACTACTGACCGTTCGAATCGGTCCAATGCTGAGCGCGCGCGCAGCGTAAAATTGTCATTATCATAATTTTTTATAAACACACCAAAAAAAGTATTACTTTAAAAGTATATTTCGAAAATATGTGAAGTCTGCCAATCCGCAGTGGGGTCGCCGGATGGACCAGTATATATATTTCAGTATATATGTATCATGTGATGGACTATTCCATATTACCCTTTGTACAGAGAAGAACAGTAGTAGGACATTATGGACTATTACTTTACTTTTATTAACGAGTTCGCATACGATCTTTGGGTCGTGTTTTTGCATAATTATTTACGTAGCCTTTTGCTTTCACAAATAGTTTATTTTATATTCATATGATTGTTTTCTTTAATGTTTTATTTTGCGTAAATGGTGTAGGTGTCATAAATTAATTATTTTCTAAAGTGATAGATTAGAATGTCTTGTGATTGAATTAAAATTTTCACTTTGCTACTGGTTTCAATCTCGACTACGTAAATTGCCGCCGGTGTTCGAGCCTTATTAGTCGAATTTTCCTTCAAAGTTTTCAAATCCGCCCAACAATAACAAAATCTCGTCAATAAATAGTTATATATAAAATCTATTAAGTAATATATAGTCTTGAGAGTATCATAATGTCGAATTGTCGAAAAAATGTCAAATCTGTCACTCCAACTGCTTACCGTCAGTTTGCTCATTTGCTGCTGTTGTTATCTCTGTTGTACAGTAATTAATCAATCTTTTGTAATTGAATTTTGAGAAAATCAATTGTTAAATAATGAATAATGCATCGCAGTTTTCTCTCCGGTGGAATAATTATGTTACTCACGTGACTGAAGCATTCAATGAACTTAGATTTTCGAATGATTTAGTAGATGTCACGTTATGTTGTGATGGTGGCAAAATCAAGGCACACAAAATGTTATTATCAGCTTGTAGTAGTTATTTTAAACAAATCTTCAAAGAAAACCCATGTCAGCATCCTGTGATTATATTTAGAAACTTCAAATTTGAAGATCTTAATGCAATTATTAACTTTATGTATCACGGTGAAGTTAACATATTCCAGGAGCAATTGGAATCATTCCTTATAACCGCTGAACTTTTGGAGGTAAAGGGCTTGACCGACAATTCAGAGGAAGAAACATCAAAGACGCAAATAAGATTTATTGATAATACTTCATTAGACTTAAGTTCAAAGTCAAGCAGAATAAATGAGGATTTAATACCTAATCCATCTGACGAACCGATCAATCTTGCTACTACTATACCAACTAATAGGGATGAATACATTCCAGAGGCTAAATGCAAAAAAATTCACATGATGTAATTGAAAATGAACTGCAAGCTGAGAAAGTTCTGAATGAAGACAGTACGAATATAAGGACCAGAGTGAATACATTACCTGAAGAGATGCAGATTGATACACAATCTACCACAGCTGAAGATTTGTCAGAAAAAAATACTGGTTAGTAACAATGCTTTAAAAATATGGGTATGTTTTTGGTTTGATATTTAACGCAAAATAATATTAAGTATCAACGGTTGTGGCTAGGAACATCAGATTATTATATAAATTTATGTTTATTTATATATACTTATTATTTTGTTTATATTTTATTTATGTATCTTTGTATTGATTTTTCTGTTAAATGTATAACACTGTTTGTTTTTTCTACCTGTAGCAATTTATCCATCTATGCAAATCCTGGTTAAACAATTTATTTATTACATTTAGTTAACGGTTAACGGTGGTAGGGCCACGCAGCAGCCTCGGCTGTTGCACGAATGGGCAGGCCCGTCCGGGTAAGTACCACAACCTCACAGAAGACCAGCGTAAAGTGAAAGTATAATACTTTCGCGTTACGTCTGGTGAGTGAGGTGACCGGAGCCCAATTTTCAAAAGGTTGTCAACGCATCTGCAACCCTCGGGTGTAGCAGATGTCTATGGGCGGCGGTATTCACTTAACATCAGGTGAACCGTCTGCTCGTTTGACAACTTTTCACATTAAAAAAAAAAATAGTTTTCTCCCATAATACTTTCACGTTTCGTCTAGTGAGTGAGGTGGCCGGAGCCCAATTTTCAAAAGGTTGTCAACACATCTGGAATCCTAGGGTGTAACAGATGTCCATGGGCAGCGGTATTCACTTAACATCAGGTGAACTGTCTGCATGCTTGACAACTTTTCACATAAAAAAAATGTTAAAATAAAACCACTCTTAAAAGGAAATATTAATTTAATTAAAAGTAAAGTAAAGTAAAGTAACAGCCTATACATGTCCCACTGCTGGGCAAAGGCCTCCTCTATACAGAGGGTATCAGGGCATAGTCCACCACGCGGCCCCACTGCGGATTGGCGGACTTCACATATCTTCGAAATATATTTTTTTTATTACTATTTTGAAAATATGCAGGTTTCCTCACGATGTTTTCCTTCACCGCGGAGCACGTGGTAAGTCAGCACTTAAAGTTAAAAACTTCATTGGTGCCGGCACCGGGGATCGAACTCAGGTTGCTCGAGTATATAGAATTAAAGGCGAGCGCCCGGACACTGAGCTATCACGGCTCCATTATCCATTTAATTATACGTTGATAAAATATGAAAAAAAAGTTGAGATAGCATGTAATTCATCTTGCAATGTTATGTTCTTGTGACAAAGATCAGAAAGTCATTGAAACTTACAATATATAAAATTTAAATTGTCTTATTTCAGATTCTGATTTGGCTAAGTTTCGGTGTCAATTATGCCCTAAAGGATTTAAGCATCCAACATCTTTAACTTTGCATAAAGATTCACATGCAGGAAAAACACAATGTCCGGTATGTCATCGATCATTTTCAAGGTCATATGATATGAGGAGTCACTTACAAAGGATTCATCAGGGAAAACAATTGACAATTAAAGAGATTAGATACAAGGGCAATAGTGATAATATTGCTAAGCAGTTTACATCTAATATATAGCATAAATTGTAAGATTTATTGCAGTAATAGCACATAGTGCAAAATGCCTATTAATGTATTTGCTGTCATATCGTATTTACAAATTGTGTAAAGTGCATAGAGATAGAATAAATATTTATTTAAATTTTTGTAAGTCACAAATAAACTTGCTCAGTGCTATAGCTTTTGCTATTTTTATACTAGTCTTAAATATTACTGTTCTTTGTATAAAATTGTTTCCATTATATTCTGTTTTGTTTTATTTTGGGATTAATACATATTAAGATATTAATACAATATAAGAATAATATAAATTCATAATATATGCAATTTGAAGTTGAAGCAAAAAAATAGATATCAGTGAGTCACTCATAGATTAACAGGAGATGTCTATTCATTATATAGTCCAGTATATTCTGTAGAAAAGTATGATAATATATGAAAACATGAAGAATGTTTTGCTTGTAATGATAGATGTGATCTGTGAATGTAGATGACCTATATACAAATTAGATGGAGGTACATAATTATGAAATTAGCGCACCGAAACTGCGGCACTCAAATTACGCCAAATTACTTTGCAACCATATAGACTGCTATCTCTTTCCCTATCATACCTCCGTCACTTATATAGGCATGTCACATAACAGATAATACGTATATACTTGTATGGTCATATAAAGTAAAGCGAGGCAATTATTAGAATCGCCGCGTTGAATGGACATTAGTCAGCTATATTAAAATATCATTGGGACTATTGGGAGAAACTATGACTTTACTACCTACCTACGACATTCGTTATCTGGACTTCTTAATCTACTGGTAAGTCCGGAGATATATCCGTCTCTCTCATCCCCGAATTCAATTTATTTGCTATCTCTTTTTTTGTTTCCTAACGTATATAAAAATCCGATTTGATAACCTCCTTTTTGAGATCGGTTAAAATATTTAATGTATATATATACAGCGTGTCTTTACCATCGCGACAATAAATGAACACATATATGGATAATATTTTTAAAATTGTATTAAAGATTTACATTCTTTAAACATCAATATTTACCGAGTTATCAAATTTTCCAAAACAATGAATTTTAGAACACTTACACCTTACGCATAAAACTTTAATGCAAAGTTCATTTGTAAAAGTCACAAAGCATATGAATGGGTTCAATGGATTTAAAAGGGACAAAACACTGTTAGAAGGAGAGGCTTGTAATGCGGCGCTGTGGTAATGAATGAAAAAGTCTCTGAATGTATGAATCAGTCAGTTGTAGTTGTATAGGATGTTACAAATTTTGTTTCTTTTTTACTTAATTAGTTTGTTTGAAAAATATTTTTTTTATTATGGATTTTTTTGAAGTTAATATTTTTTTATGAATATTGGCAAGTAGCGTTAGACGTGTGTTCATTTATTGTCACCGTGGTAAAGACACGCTGTATATTTATATATAATGTAATCTCGGAAACAGCTCAAATGATTTTCATGAAATTTAGCATGAAAGGGGGTTTCGGGGGCGATAAGTCGATCTAGCTTTTTTTTTTGCGAAAAGTTGTCAAACGAGCAGACGGTTCACCTGATGTTAAGTGAATACCGCCGCCCATGGAGATCTGCCACACATGAGGGTTACAGATGCATTGACAACCTTTTGAAAATTGGGCTCCGGCTACCTCACTCACCAGACGAAACGCGATAGTATTTGTCATACTTCCACTTTACGCTGGTCTTCTGTTAGGTCGTGGTACTTACCCATTCGTGCAACAGCCGAACTTGCTGCGTGGCCCTACCACCGTTAAAACTGGTAGCTACGTTTAATTTTTGAAAACGTCAATCCATGTTTGCAGGCTATGAAAAACTGCTACTATGTCATTAGAATACGAAAGTAAATTTTGTTACAAGCTCATGTGGAAATCAGCCGGTCCCGAAACCAGAAGACCGCGGCTTGAGTTCAGATGATTTTTTTTATATCTTTACCTTTTTTCAAGATTCTTTTTTTGTGAGAAAAGGAAGCAAAGACTAGTCTCAGAAAAGAACTCAGTCATTTAGGTACTTTATACAGGGTGGGCTTTCTAAAGGTGACCAAATTTACACAGGAAGTTCGAACTTGGTAGTATAATCGTTTATTGAAATAAAAACAAACTTTTTTTCAAAAAAAAAATTCCATTCTATTCCCTAAAAAACAGAACTTGTTGACAATGCGGTAGTAATTCATAAATGCGTCGTATTCTTTTAAACGAACTTGTGTAAAGCCTTCCTGTATAGGAAACCCATTACGGGAAAAGTTTGAAATATTTTTATTTCCAGTGATAGTGATAGTGAAAAAACTGCGTACCAAATCGTCAAAGAAAGTTTTTAAGAAAATTATTAAGAAAAACTTCATGCCCGTGCAAGAGATTTTGCCACAAAATGGCATTATGTGCTTCAGAAAGGCCTTCGGTCGATACCTTTACTCACATCGTTACAAAAAAAAAGTAGGAAATTGAACAGGACAGTTGACCTATGGCGTCAAATAATATGGAGTTCCAAATAAAAAAAAATCATCTTTATACATAGGTATAAAACGAAGTCGCTACCGATTTTTGTACGCTTAGATCTTTTAAACTATGGATTTTAATGAGGTTTTCAGTAAAAGATACAGTGATTCAAGCGGAAGGTTTATATGTAGCATACATATATAGTACTAGCTGCTGCCCGCGACTACGTCTGCGTAGAGGGGTGAAAATTGAGGATTGTATGTATTTTTGTATGTTGTATCATAAAAAAATAGAAATTAAAAATTTTGTCTAAAAAATAAAAATAAAAAAATTAGGGGTGGACTACCCCTAACATTTAGGGGGATGAAAAATAGATGTTGGCCGATTCTCATAGATACCGGATAAGCACAAAAAATTTCATCAAAATCGGTCAAGCCGTTTCGGAGGAGTATGGCAACGAAAACTGTGACACGAGAATTTTATATATTAGATAGTAGAGAAAAGCCGAGAAATTCAATATCTACATTGCAAGCGTGCGAAGCCGGGGTGAATTAGAGAAAAGATTGAAGATTCATGGGTTTGTAAATTGTTGATGATTATTTATTTAAACTAATTTTTTACAAATAAGTAAAGTAATAAAACTCCTGAACGTTCAATATCCGTATTTGTTTTTGCTAAGCCTGTTTTGAAAAGTAGGATTATGGCAAACAATTGGATAATACAATAGGCAAGGATTTATGCAAGTTGCAAAAAAGAATTTTTATGACCAGGGGAAAAACGTATACTAGAACAACGCTACGAAGTTTGTCAATTAACGTTAACAATACCTACAAAACAGCTCAGCTTATATAAGGTCAGCAATTACAGCAGGTGATAACTTTTAGATAGCTGATAAAAACGTGGAAGTTCGTGGGCTTGGTGTATCAAGCCGAATAAAATGTCCAATGGACCTACCCTCTTGCAACAGCGAAGAATGATACGTGGCTCTACCATAGTTAAATAATTTAACTTATTTACAGGCAGTGCAAATTGATTTGTTACAATTATGACCACATTATTTAATAATAGCTTTAAGCTATCAAAAATCCTCTTTTCCAATAAGTGCTCTGTCAACGTTGAATAATCAGGGAAACAATTGTAGAAAAAAATAAAACAGAAATAAGTAAATAATTATAGAAAACCCTAAAATATTTAAAACTTTACAAATATTATAAGCAAAATATTCTATTTGAATAGTACAATTTTTTGTACCTATTTATGCAATAAAAGATTCCCTCCACTAGCCACGTTGGCCCCGCATCTTACGATGCAAGTAGTAACGAGTGTGTGATGTTTCGGAGTTTGAGGTAGATAACTCGCGGAAGGGAGACAAGCAGAAAGGGGGAGCAGTGCAGGCTAAGGGAGAGCCGATGCATGCTTTGTAGCTGGGACGGGGTGGCACACGCGAGGGCGGCGGGGGTCGGACGGGCTGCGCTCAATACGCGCGCGCGCCGCGCAACTCACGGAGTCAGTCGCTTTTTGACGTCCACCGCGTTCGGTCAGCGACGCGGCTGACCGTCATTTAAATATAAACTACGCTATCGATATTCCATAAACACTATTTCAAGTACGTATACCGTTAAGATTAGACGTAAATAATTATTTAGACATTTAAAGTAACGCGTTGAATCGTTCGGCCCGCAAAGAGAGTTATATATTTGTGAATTTGTTTACATTCAGATCACATGCTTTCTACAATATCAAAGGCATATAAGATGTTGCAAAAATAATAATGAATAAAGTGTCTTTACTGCCGTATTGAGATTAATTTGGTGGTAAATTTTGTTACATAGTGATTTTTGTACGAACCGGTATTTACTGTAAAAGTTTTATACTATCTCTTTATTTCTCATCAATTGCATTTAGTTCATTTAGTGGTTGTCGTATAGTGGATTGATCGTTGAAATAGCGTGAGCATTAGCACAGGAAAATAAGTGCGTGAATATTTGATGGTGTGTCGTGAAGGAAAGCGCATACAGTCGAGATTGCTTTGCAAAACGCCGCGCGACGGCGCAATGGGGGTATTGATCGGCGGCGGCGGCGGGTCGCGAGACGCCGGCGTTCCCGCCTGCCGCCTAAATAAAGCTCGCATGTGTGCCGCCCTACGTCGATGCCGTCGCCTCCGCCACCGCCGCTGGGCCGACGCGTGATTTGCGCTACTATGCAGCACACATGATTCAATTAATATAATAATACTACTCTGTACTAGCCGCTGTAGCCGTTATTTTACAGTTATCGCTCTCATTCACTGATTTCTTCGAATTGCAGTTGACTCACTACACTTTGGTTATTTCAAGGTCGGACCTTGTCGTTGCTTTACAACATTTGGAATTAAAGCGGGTTATCAAAAATCAAATAAATATTTTCACACGCTTATGTTCATGTCTACATTACACACAGGGTATTAATTAAACGAAATATCTTTGTTTTAGGTGGAAATGTTGGGATAACTGAAACGAGCTACAGTTAGAGCCATGGCGCGCATCGTGCTTGGGAGCGGAGTTTTGCTCTGCGTCCTCAGCTTGACGCTTGAGACGCGCGCCCTCACGGTCTTGCCGCACGACGTTCGACCAGGCCATGCTGTCCGCCACTTCGTGGGGAACTATTCTCGCTACACTCTGCTCGACCCAGAATACGGCACCTACTTCACACTTTTAGACGATGGACTGCTAATGACTACTGCCGATCTTGCGCCCCTGCTCGATCGATCGTTGAATCTTGCTGTCTTGGAACAGACCCCGTTTAGTAGTTCCGCTCATTCGGTACATCTGCTCGTGGTAGACCGTAGGAAAATGCTTAGTTTTTCTGCAACGAACGTTATACGCGGTGAAATTCCAGAAAATTCACCACCTGGTTCGGTTGTTGATCTTCCACCGATCAAAGCCACGGCGTCCGTCAATGTTGGACCTATCGCGTACAAAATAATAAAAGGAAATGAATACTCTCTATTCTCCTTACGCGATAAAGCGAAGAGTGGGATCCCAGAGGTTTACTCAGTTATTACAGAGGGTGAAGTAGAAATGATTGCAATGAAGTCTTTAGACGCTGAAGCTAAAAAATATTACGACTTGGTGCTTCAGGCAACAGATTTATCAGGTATTTACAAGGCGACTCTATCTATCAGGGTGGATGTTTCAAATGAAAACGACCACGAACCAATATTCGAACAGGATATATATTACTTTGCTGTTAACGGTACACTAGATCAGAATAGTGATAACGGTACCGCACATTGGCAAAGATTCTCAAACATTGGCAAGGTTCACGCATACGACGCCGACGGTGATAGGGTGTATTACTCCCTGAAGACGGCCAGCAACCTAGCCGTTGTCGTGCCGCAAACAGGTGAACTGATCCTTGCGGGCGAACCGGATAGCCACGAAGCCGAATTGGAAGTAGTCGCCCACGACACAGGAGCGCCTTCGCGCAAAAGTCGGCCGGCTCAAGTTTTCCTAGAATTCGTTGTTCGGAACCAAAAAGATTTACCAGCCCTGCGGCGTCAAAAGAGGCGTGTTACCCGCGCTGTTCGACCGACGAAGCGTATTGAATTCACCGAGGCGGACGGCGAAGTCGAGGGACGTGCGGTTTTCACGCTCGAGAAAGAAACAGATCGCGAAACGTTCAAAATTCGCGACGAAAATCCGTGGGTCACCGTTGAGCCCAGTGGTGTAGTGAAAGTCAAAAAGAAGTGGGACTATGAGGAATTGGGGCCTGAGAAGACTATCGACTTTTGGGTCACTATCACCAATGCTGGAAATGGAGGTAAGTTCAAAACTTTATACCGAAAACTTTCGATAACCATCGGTCATGAATGTCACATTGAGTTTGTTCAATAATTCTGTCCTGTATCGTACTGAACTCATTATTTATGGATCGGAATGCTGGTTGAGTCGTTATACTTTTTATTTTTAACTAAGTAGTATGTGTGATGGTTGAATCTAGATAATGATAGGGAAGAGAAGTGAGGGCAGTTTCCTGTTTGCCTAGGGACAAGATCTTTATCCGAAATTAATCTGAAGAAGTTCTATATATAAAAGGATTTATCTATTGTTTATAGATAAAAGCATGGGAAGGGTAAACTGTGTGATTGTGCTGTGTCAGATTTTAATAGAGCATTGAGTTGCTTTCGTGTATGGTCATAGCACGCACCTGTCGTAACTAATGGGGGTAATCGAGCGTAACATTATGCCGACAGATCCAACGCCCGTAATGGTCTAAGAGATCGTGATGAGAATGTTGAAAGAAAGTAATAAATATTATGAGTACTCGTAAATCTAATCGTTTGCAGTTTCTTATAAATAGGTCAAGATGTGCTTACAATGAAATTGTATTACAATGAATGTTTAAGAGCTACAAATAATTAAATTATTTGCAGCGTTTAAAAGAACGTCTATTTTGGTATAATTTAATAATAGAAAAAAAAAATTTTGCCGTTTTTAGGGTTCCGTACCCAAAGGGTAAAACTACTGTCTGTCTCTCTGTCCGACTGTCACCAGGCTATATCTCATGAACCGTGATAGTTACACGGTTGAATTTTTTTACAGATAATGTATTTCTGTAGCCGTTATAACAACAAGAACTAAAAAACAATAAAAAAATTTAGGTGAGTCCCACTATACAACATGATTTTTTTTTCCGTTTTTGTAGATAATGTTACGGAACACTTCGTGGGCGAGACCGACTCATATTTGGCCGGTTTTATTGACAATGGCAAAGAATTCTTACCAATACTCGGTTACGCGGCAATCATAAGCAAATCGAAAAATTAAGCTAACTAAAAAGAGATCAGAGTACAACGATAACAATTTACTGATCCAGTGAAAATTGTATTCCTATAATTGTTAAATTTTGCATTAACATTTAAAATTATAGACTACTAGCTTTTCGCCCGCGGCTCCGCTCAAGTTGAAGCCCTTAAATAAAAATCATTCAACCATTAACAATCCTTTTTCTAATTAATAAATAGCCTATGTCCTGTCTTAAGCTCTAGACTATCTGTGTACCAAATTTCATTTAAATCGGTTCAGTAATTTTGGATTGAAAGCGAGGCAGACAGACAGAGTTACTTTCGCATTAATAACATTAGTATGGAAGTATGGATTAGTTTGGATTATACTTATGGAAGACAACTTTATAAAAAATATGTATTATAAATATGAAGCTAAGAAGCACGGAGACAAATTTTTGCTAGCTATTATTTTTTATGAGTAAGTTCAAATTCGTATCATAGAGATAGATAATTAAATGTTGGTCTGAAGATGGGTCGCAGCGACAGGTACTGTGCAGAATGCGTTAAAAATCGGGGACCTGTCGCACGGCCCCGAATACCTTTTCTTCGATTCTTCACGCCGGAGATCACGACGCGACGTCCAGATGGAATGTAATTCTCCTCCTATTCGTTGTGCACGCGTATTATTATAATGTAATATCGCAAAAGAAACGAGAAATGTTAGAAATGTTACTGACATATAAATTTTATTGACATAACATTTGCACCACCATTAATTATCACGAAAGTTCTTGACAAGGCCTGCCTATAAACATAACTAAAGAGGACCAAGATAACAAAGATGAGGTCTACTGTCAAAGTAAAGAGCAGAATGTTAGGCTACATCGAAAGTCTTAAAACACTTGCCTTTGATAATAGTATCTCAAATATAGTCATAAATACGCGCACAGACAATTTCCATGTACCTTAAATAATATAATAAATAAAATAAATTAGTTACAAATTGTAACTGTCAAAGTTCTGAAAGGTTGCTCTATCGGAAAATTTTACTTTACTAGTTAGCTTTATGCAAAAGCTTTGGCTTGGAACTTAAACTACAAAAGCCATAAAGAGTATTTTGCAGATAGCTTTCTAAATTATTAACAAGTCAACCGAAATAATATTTTTTGCAATACTTGTAAGTCGTTAATCGAAACTTAAGCAATGTGATTATAGTGCCATTTTAATGGTGTAAGAGAGGTGAATGCAGCGTATTTAGTATATTTTATTTTGACATCTTAGGTCCGCAAATAAGGCTTTTACTAATGAAAAAAATAAATCGGAATGAAAATGCGGTATACGGTTTATTTTCATTAATTATCGATTAAAACAATGAAACACTCATCCGTGTTATTTATAAAACAATATCCGGCTGAGCCAAGATAATATTTATATACATAATAAGCGAAAACAAATATTATAAAAGTACATACATTCCCAATCTATCATCATAAAACTGCAATAAAAAGCCCCTACATTCGACTGGCTCTTCAGAAATTTGTATTAATATATAGGTACCTACATTTTTTCTTTTCTTTCAAATATAAGAAAAGTTATGAAGATGAAAATACACCTTTTATATGCAGAATATTTAAAATCGACAGATTAGAACCAGATTTGAAAATTCATAAACTATAATATTTACCCTAATTTGGATTGAGCTCTCAAAGTATAATAATTGGTACATGATTATGTAATTTTTTTGAAATTATTATCCTGAAGTACACGATCTAGAAGTAAGTTGAACGTTGAGTAAAAAATGTCGATTATTTACAGACATAGCTGGGGTGTATCCCGATTTGGGTTATGACTAGCAGGAGGTGCCACATATTCCATTCCACTGAATCAATAATTGAATAAGATGCTGGTGTGACGTCTAGCTAGTCGAATAGAAATTGGCATGTCCGGCACATGCACCGCGCGATGTCGGCTTCTGAAACTTCTAGAAGTTGCATTATATTTGTAGGATGTTCAATAAATGCAACTAAATGCAGGACCTTTAGAATAAACCTTAAGATTTTAAAGAAATTAGTATAACATTATTTAACATTCAAATGAAAATGATGTAAACGTAAAAAGATATAACTTATATTAAGATTAGTAGGATTTAATTGGTTCTATCAGTTGAAAGTTATTAGTTAAATCCTTTTGTTTTCATATAATTATATATTATCAAAAATGCTTATTATATATCTATCCTTATTACCTACACTGTTCTGTGGCTTTTTGTATATGACTGAAGTCAGTCATCTAAATTAAATTTATGTGTTAACATCAGCTTTAAATTTTATATATAATCCTGGAACCATTTACATATACAGATAAAACAGTGGATTTGTCGTTTGTTTAAAATTTATAGTTTGATTAATTGGTGCCATAGAGTTATTTCATATCTAGTAAAGTAGATTACTATTAAATTTGTAATGGCTCAGCCCCTCGGAAGTCTAGCCCACGTTTGAATAGCTATTGAGGATCGAAATACTAGACATTTTCCAATAATGAAATAGGATATATGAAAGCTTTCTTCGGTAATCTTATCTTATCAGTCGAAATGAAATTGCAACGTATGTAGTTGAGTCGAGGCTTGCGGACCAGTTACGCTCCGTTGCTTTGTGTTATTTGTTGAATTTTCTCGTTCATTCAATCAATGATAATGGGCTCGGGCGTCGGTCGCACTACAATTGTCGTTCTGGCCAATTCCCCGCATTGTGTCCACTCGCAGCAATTACGTATGCGCACTTCCTATGCCTGACCCCACGAACTATATGGCCACCGCATGGGCCATGTACACATCGTATACTGTTTTAATTATAGAGAATATTCTCAAGCTTGATAAAAGGTTTTTTGTCTTTTTTGAACTGATCTCATCTGGTAGGAATATAATTAGATAACGGATATCGATCTGCCATCAATAACATAGCTTACGATGCCTTCCAAGCTTACGAAGTTTGCCGTACGTCAATTTATCTTAATACATTTCTCCTGGCGGGATAAATCCTTTAATAAAATTTGCCGACCCTTATTCCATATAAGCATTTCGGCCCCTACCATGTCGAGACAGCAGGGGATCGATAGTTTCCTACAAGTCTTGCTATATTATTGTTTAATTAATTAATGAAATATCTGAGCTCGTCATGTCGTGTCGTTATAAATTATGTTTATATATTTGTTTTAAAAATCTCTTTTAATATTTTTCTCATAAAAACAAACAATTCACTCAGGTTCAATGACCGAACAAATCGAAGTAAATTATATATAGTCTTTATAAGTATAATAAAGACTATACTTTACTTCGATTGCTTTAATAAGCTTCAGGGACCCAAGTTTTTTTGAATATGCGTTATGTACAGTGAAGGAAAAAAATAACCAATTCACAATGATCACAATAATGATTTAATTGTTTTGTTTATTGGTTTTAATGGGTAAATCAATTATTATAAATACGTGTTCGTCTTTGTAATTTTTGTTCGTTTTTTTCTACGAGTATTTTTGTATTTCCAAGTAATTTGTATTTTTTGGGATATTTATTGAACAATAAAATAATTTGCCACTTGTGTAGGACACGAGGTTCTTTTTGAATAGCTGGTTGGGTCTCAGAATTATTAGTTACTTAGAATGATTTAATCTAGAATGATCCAGTAGCGTTTGATGGATAACATAATCTACTGATAATACTTGTTCTAAATGTTACTGACGTATAAAGTTATGACTGTATTTCTTATTAAGTACTATTGCGTAATAAAGAGGGTATCAAAGTTCATACATTGATACCCGCTGTTGTGTCCATACATTAATAGGATACCTTAAACAAACGACTTTATGAACACTTAATATTACACTGTACAGGAAAATAAATATTATATTAATGCTTCCGCACGTTATATAGTCTTTTAAATAAAAAACTTTATTAACATAAGAAACATATACCTATTGAATAAAAATTCAGTTAATATTTTGCAGCATTTTTGCTTAGTATTCGCTAAGCGAAGAAAAACAAATAATGTAAGAACTTTCCGTTGGGTGTCATATTTTGACCGAAAAATCTGTTTGAATTGCATAAAATATGTAAAGAATGACTATTACGCCTTTTCTTAGTTTCTTATTACGCCGGGGGCAATTAATAGTTGACACCCACCAACATTAGGGGAGCAGACATTTATGTCAATCATTAGCTTATAAGACCGACCATACTTAAAATGAAAAGCACGTTTCAAAAAACATAGCAAATAAAAAAGTGTGTGTACCTTTGTACGGACGTACTCTTTGATTGCAATCAACTTCATCAAGTCGATGTCGGTGTGCGTGCGCATCATAAAAATTTTACTTTCATAATTATTTCCAAATACGCCAAAAGCTATAATTAAAAAAAATGTACAAAACGGAACAATACAATGAGAAAAAAATGTGTTTGATGCTATGCTTTTGTAAGTCGTCTGGCTAATATTTC